TGCAGTGTTCTTTTCTTAGTTTTAAAAATGTACATACGCTGCAGAGAGATCGGTGGCTTGCACTGATGACGCCTCAAAACCGAAACTCTCGTAGCATGATTCGTGACTGCACCCGCTACTGCCTAACCTCGTCGTCACGCCACTTCTGCAAGCAGTCGCAAAAATTACCAGTAAACAAACAAACAAAAAACACCGATACAATTATCTTGTAGAATTTCAGCTCATTTAGGAACAACAATCAATACGCATTACATGATGCATTTAAGTTTTAAAAAAAAACATAAAACCATTTTTCGCCGGAAAAAACTAAATAGCAACGTTAAGTCTGGTAACATTGTATTTTTGCAGAATCTTTGCCAAATCTTTTGAAACGTTCGGCAAAAGTTTGGCTTTGCCGAATCCCAAGACTCGGAAAAAGTTTGGCCCATCACTAGTAATACTAATAACCAGAGCCCAATGAGAACTTGTTCATCGAGTTTCTGACTGCCAACGTGAACTTCGTAGAATGTGCGCACTACTTGCAGACGCACTGCAGCTGATTTGCACAAGGCATGCTACCCCTCCCTCCGTCCCCACCCCTCCCCTTACCTGACGAGCAACTACAGAGTGTGAACAGGCCATATGCGCCGCTCAGAGAATGCATGTTCGGCCTGATCAATGGTTTGCTGTCGGGACAGTGTCTTGTGATCCACAGCTGTCATTCGTGCGTGTGCGTATTTATGCCTAAAGCGGGGCAAGTGGGCTGAAATTTCTTGCATTAATGTAATGATGTGTAAAAGAGAAAAAATATGGCACATCACATCACGCGAGATTACTGATTGGGTAGCAGTTGCCATTGTTATAAAATCAACGAAGGGCAAGCGATCCGGCCGATCGCTCGAGGACACGCTCAGATCACGACCCGAACGAATGTGTCCGTTGGCTTCTTCCTGCGGGATCTGATGCCGTTGGAAGAATCGCCGCTCCGAAATGACCAGCCGTTTCCCGGAAGCCACACGGCAGCCCGGTGAGCCAGAGCTCACGCATCCAGCGATGTTCCGGCGAACCGACCGACCTGTAGGTCACGGCACCTCATCTAGCTACACACTGCAAACTAGTTGGCCAGTGCGGTCTTATAATACAATTACTCAATCCGCTTGGCAGCGTGGGTAATGTGAGGAAGCCCGACGCCCACTGGCATTGGTTTCAATGTGACACGCATTTCTGACACCAGGGGTGTGTCACAATCTAACCGTGATGAAAACGCACGTTATAATAAGCGTGCGAACACTGGATCCTCTTCACGCCTGCCAAGCATCAAGCCGAAGCGTGGCTCATGCTTGGGAAGAGTAAATCCTAAGCGTGGAAAATTACCCCGCTTAGAGCAAGCGTGTAAAAAAGTTGCAAGAGTCAGGCTAGCGCGAAAATTTTTAGCGTGTACGGCAGGTGTTCCCATGGAATAGTAATCGGATATTGCTGGCGACCGCACGCCGTGTGGACCGTGCGCCAGACAGGCTGTGAACCGCTGTTGGGTCGCAGAAAAGCCTTCGCCGAGCACCCCTGACGGCAAAGCGACGCACTTCGTCAGCGAGAGCCCCTTCCATAGGGAGCCATTCTGTAAACAGGTCAAGATTACAGTACTGTAATATACTAAGCTAGCCCACTTAAAATCGAAAACAAATAGAGTGAAAAAAAAGGAGTGGGCCAACTTTCGGTGTGCGATCCAAAAAATTTGAAGAAGGTGCTAGTTTTAGATTTTGTGACCTGCGAAACTTGCGACTGCAGGGAGGGGCGATGAACCAAAGACGTCTGTCCTTCGCAGTCAGCAATATTTGCTTATCTCCAGCCCCGGCTAAGTAACCGCACATCCGCCGAGGTTGCCATTGACCAGGGCCCTGCAATTAGTAAACGTGGGCTATACTTTGGTGTTTCTTAAAAAAAAATAGTGAATCGTGCCAAAAATAGGAGGCGGGTTATCTTTCGGCGCTGGGGCGTCTCTCGGGATTTTACGGTACGTTGTGCTCGTGCTTCGGCCTCGCTCGCACATAAAGTGAAATAAAGTACAGCCCAGTTTATTCCCTCCAGAAGCCACGCCAGCCGTGCAGCTCACATTGCCAGAACCCAGATGAAGAAACGGACATCTCCGAGAATGTACAGTGGTGGAAAGAGCCAACGAAGCCACAGGGGCGTGCGGTCTCGAGCTACATGTGAGCTGGGCCGCTAGGTCGGTTGCGAGATTAATGGCTATCTGACCTCGCTATGTTTGATATGAAACAGGACCGCGCTATCGGACGTAGCAAGGCCGGATAGCCAGACAATAATAGCTGCTAATCTTGCGCAAGGGCTCACGGTTCCTGTGCTTCCTCTTGCTGCCAGCATGATTCATGCGCGTAGCTCGAGACCACACGCCTCTAGCTTCCTTAGCTCTTTCCATCACTTACATGATACGTGAAGCCATTATAGCACCGTTTTTAATGCCATGAATCTGAATAAACGCCACCGTAACTGACCAATATTTTTCACTATGTAACTGAGAAATGTTCTAGGCTATTTAGTGCATACAAATTATTTGTGATATTTGCTTTATGGTGTATTCGCACGACGAAGTTTCTTCCCGAGGAGAAAGATAAACGTCATCGAGTTTTGAGGTTGTGTGCTCCGCGTCACGAATGTTCGCTGATCCCCCAAGCTCGCGGCGTGCTCGCGGGGTCCCGAGGAGAACCTGTGACAGGCCTACAGAATCTCCGCCGTTCCGTCGGTATCCGTCGAAGCGGTCGGGCCCCCTCTTTTGTCCCCCTGCTTTTGGGGAGGGGTAATGACGAACAGCTTTGAAGTGTGGGGTGCCTTTTCTTTATTATTTTTTGCCTTCCTTTTTGTTCGATGAGCCCCCGAAAGTCACCAACAGGTTTGCGAAAAGAAAGACTCCGGCGACCCAACTATGAGACTCCGTCGTGCGAATGCTCGCTTGGATTTTCTCCACTTCCTCCTCATTCTCGTGCCATTTCCTTCTCTCAGCTCTATGACGTATTCAGCTTTCTCCAGGGATAAGGATCTCTCGTGCAAATACACCATTATAAATTAGTGCAGGGAGAAAATGCGCTCCCTTTTTTTCCATAAAAATGCTTTACCGGAAGACAATTTCAGACTGGCTGCCGGCTGACAGTCCTTAAATTTGAAACCGCACACTATCGCCCGTTGGACTTCTAGGGTACAGTCAGCAGCAAAAGTTTGTGGGGCAAGGGAGCGCCAGCTGAAATGACAGGTTGCTCTTTCTGACGGCGCATTGCCGCTCTCAAGACTCAAGCTTCGCGCATGCGATTCCTTTTGTGTCCGCAGTCATGTTGTTTTGCTCACTTCCGGTGTTTACGTCCGACGGGCACGAGATAACAGGGACTGGCGCATGGTGCCAGGAAATGTTATCGGTATATGTATTATGCGAGCTCCGTTAGACCTGTCCACACAGGACACTACAAAAATCGTCAGGCAACACGAATCCTGAAAAAATCGTCAAAAATTGCAGCAGGTGCTTCAATTTGGACGATTTTTGCAGGAGTCGTGTCGCCGGACGATTGTTGTGGCCAAGCCGACATCATGACTTTTCTCGCCTCCACTTTTTTTTTGACGTCGGTGCTCGTCAGATTTGACGTTACACGCCACCTGCCAATTGGGACTTGAAAAGAGGCGGAGGCGTTCAGCGATTGACCGACAGCCGTCAGAGCGTGTGAGTGGCTCTCCGGACCCACGTGATGAGCAGATCAAGGCCGCCGTGGAGGGCACGGGCGAGACTTGACAGGGAAGAAATTTCCCCCCGGCAAAGAAAAAACAGCCGGAAGCGGAGCGCCGAACGATTTGTTGGAGTCGTGACGATTTTTGTAGCGTCCTGTTTGGACAGGCCTTCACCCAGCACGGTGGCTAAGTTAGACGTGCGGTATGACGGCTGCCAAAGCGGCAGCGGTCTCAATTATCTCGTGCGCGTCGGACGGAAGCGAGTAAAGAAGACGTGACTGCGAGCACGAAAGGAAGCACATTCTCGAAGCGCGAGTCTGCGCGCCGTCAAAAAGCGCTACCAGTCATTTCGGCTGGCGCTCCCGCACCCCGAAAACTTTTGCTGCCGACTGTGCAAACACTGTGATAAAACACTATGGCCGGTGCACGGGCAGAACCCAAATAAAAAAATAAAAAATAAAAAACTGACGTTTTCGTGAAGGCTCATAAACGCGTAACCCCCCTCCCTCCCTCCCTCCCCCCCCCCCCCCCCCCCCCCCCCCCACACACACACACAATAATAATAAATAAAAACACACGTTATTTAGGTGAGCGAGTTGTGATTTATGGTAATCGCGGCCAGACCGCTCCGCTCGTGTTCGGAAGTATGTGAGGCACTCACCTGTGTGACTGAGCAATTGGCAGGGACTTACCTTGAGCAGTTTACTCACCTAGGCACTCCGCGTCAGGAGACTCTCTTTGTAAACCTGCAAAGCAGCTCAACTCGAGAAACGAACGATGCGAACGACACCACCTTCCATCTCACACTCCGGTTGATCTTCCTTTGCTAAAACACACCTCCAACGGTATCTGTGTGTAGCCCGTGTCTGTCACCGTTGTCCGCGCCGCTGTATCAATCCGCAAACTCTGCAGCTCTGCCGCTCTGCAGGCAAAACGGGCAAAACAAAAGCAGAAAAGCGTGCCTTGCGAACTCCACGCCACTCCACGCATCCAACGTATCCGTGATCCGCTGGTTCCGCGGTTCCGCCAGTTCCACCTTCAGCGCCAGCTCGCTCGCTTCCGCAGTGCTTTTGTTGCGCGTGCCTGTCGTGGTCTATTTACATTTTTGTGAGCAAGGGCCAGCGTGCCCGGCTCGCAACCGAAGAGTCGTGGGTTCGAATCCCGCTTAAAATTTTTGTAATGTGAAATAATTTGAGACATGCATCACTTTCATTCCACGCGTGACGTAACGTTTCATGTGAGCGTTGTGGGTTGTTCGAAATTCCCGCGCAAGGTAATCTGACGCGGTCGGGCACTACAGTCCGTGCTAAAACGTAGTCCACAAAGTTTACCAAAGCACGGGTGCGCGCCTCTCCGCTCCAGACCGGCCGTGACGTGACCACCGTGACCACAGCAACAAGAGCACGAAAAGAACAAGGTGTGATTGGAAAGTTTGTCGGCTTGCCCTGCGACAACTTTTCTTGCCAATGCATACAGGCACGGGTTTCCTCTCTCATTTTGAGCGCTGAAACACGTAAACCCACAGCGTAAACCGCGTAAACCACACTAGGCTAACCGCCCAATTCACAGGGTTTTGTTTTTCTTTATTTTTTATTGTTATATATAGAATATAGTTTAAGTATTTTTAAAGTTTTTAATATTTTGTCCGTATGTTTTCTGCTTTTGAGACGGTGCGCGACGTGCTCGAGGAGCCCGAGGAGCAGTGAGGAGTGAAAAGGGCGTGGTATGACGTAATTCCGGGTCGCTGACGAAGTTCCGGTGGTCCCGGTGCTCAAAGATGGCTCAAAGAGAAAAACAAACGATGGCGGAAGAGGTTGCGTCGCCTGAGACGTCGGTTTGCGGTTTCCTCGCTTTTATTAATGAAGAGTGCTCAAGGTAAGACACATATCTCGTTCGAATTTCGCTTCCAGCTCGGGCGCTGTTGGGAAAATATCTTGGAGCGTATTTCGTTTGTATTGGACATGCTAATAAACCACGTAAACGTTCAGTTGACGCAGTGTTTTTATCGCTGTTGCACGGAAACTTCGTGATTATCGACGATAGTCCTATCCGCGCTGAACGGAGCAAGGCAGGGTATGAACAAGGGCGGGCACACGGTTGGTCGAAGGACGTTTTAGCGGACGCCGAATTTTTATGGAAAGACACTTCAGCGAATGGTCGGCCGCCGCGAAGCGGCGTGAACCATAGCCATCTTTTGTAATGAGCCGCCGCAGACTGCCGCCGCGAAGCGGCGTAAGCGCAGCAAGGAGGAGGGAGGGGGGTTAAGGGTTTATCACGCGCTTCCGTTATTCGCTAGAACGTCGATTCGCTCAAATGGCGCTCTTCGCTAAAACGTCATTCGCTTGTGTTATATGGACCCCGATTCGCTCAAATGACAGCTGTTCGCTTAAGCGGCATTCACTCATGTGATATGGGCCCGAACGAGCGTGACTTCAGTGCGCGGTTGAACACTCACTCAGAACATGATCCCAATTAATGTTCTGTTTGTGTAGCTAAATTAGGGTGTTTACGAATATGAGACGTTGGCTGACACTCGCTTCGGCCAACAAAACCTGTGATCACTAAGGCCCGCTTCTTATGGGGAAATAATTATCATAGCAACTTGTCGTTGCAACAATGGCACTCAGTTGGTCGAGCAACGTTTCAGCGAACCCCGACCTTTCATCGAAAGTGGTTGGTTGCTGCAAATTGGCGTTTACGGGTTGCTGCCTGCTTCAATCCGCCACAGACTGCCGCCACGAAGTGGCGTGAACGCAGTGGGGGTTTGTCAACCACCACCCCCGTTATTCGCTAAAACGTCGATTCGCACAAATGACGTTAAAACGTCATTCGCTCATGTGCTCATTCGCTAAAACGTCGATGCACTCAAATGACGCTAAATTGTCATTCGCTCATGTGATATGGACCGCATTGAGTATACAAACTCATCTTTCTGAAACTGTTTACTCCCGAAAACAATTTCAAATCAGAACCAAGTCTTTAGTTATCATCATCATCAGCACGGGATGTCACATGAAAATATCTGCTGCCATTTCAAACGTGTCCGAGTTGCTTGTCTGTTTAGAGACGGACACGATCCGAGCAATTTGTGTTGTGCTAGGGAAGCTAGGGAACAACTTGCCAGCAACACCGAAATTGCTGGAAAAGTTGCCCCGTCTGAAGCGGGCCTAAGTGCAGCCGACTTCTTTTGAATATATACGAATACATTTCATAAAAAGTTTGTAAAGAAGTGCAGAACAAAAGTATGGTCTTATAAAAATATCTTAAGCGGCAGCATAGATTCACCAAGCTCTATATTTTGAGTGTATTGACGTTTTGTCGGTTTTTATAACATTAGCAGCCTTAGCACCGCCTTCGAAGGGCTCTGTCTCTTTGGATCGCTTTGAACAGCAGCGCTGATGTCTACAGTCACTAGATTTTTCCCTAACTACCATGTCAAGACTTCTTCAATACCGGCGTCGAAAAAGTGATCTTGCTCGGTGTCTTCTGCTTTCATTGTGTTTGAAACCTTCTGCCTCAGGGGGAGGAAGTGGAAACTGCGTAGGATCAGCTGAAGAGCCACGCTTTTCCTTTTTTTGTTGTTTAGTAGGCGCTCCGAGAAGTCCGACTCGAGTTACTCCATTCGGAACTGAGAGAGCTGCTACTGTTCGATTTTCTTATTTAGGGAATGCTCGAGTAACCGTATTCGGTAATTCTACGTCTGACTTAGTCTGCCTTGTGTATGCGACTGAAAGTGCTGCAGCCAATTTGCGAGTTAGAGCATACCTGCCCGAAATACCGGAATAAGTTTCAGGCAGACTGTGGAAACCAGTTTGGGCTGAGAGATAGCACGACGGTGTTGCCCTGAACGATGCTTCCACTGCACGAGTGCGTGTGCTCGACAGGTACCTTGAAAGCCGAGAACTAGTTTGTCGCTTCTGCTACGCTCTGACGTAAAGCAAAACGAAGGACACACCATACCAGTCATCACGCAAAAGCACAGCCCAGCTCACGCATGTCCGTTGCTTCGGAAGGCGAGCGAGTCCTCTGTGCACCCTGTGTGCCGCGCACACAAACGACGATGGTGCCCTCTTATGGTTTCCGTCCTTGACACCAGTCACGGCCAGTACTTGCCCAATGTTACTAGATTAACTCGGTTACGGAACTGCCTATAGATGCTGCTTGCACGAGCAGTATACCAGTATCCCCGTCTACCCACCCACGGCTTGCCTCCCGTCGTTCGACGTGTCACCGTGTTTGGGAAACGGCTGCTGTGGTAACTGCAGTGCACTCTATGAAGTAGGTATGTTTCCAAACACAGCATATAGACAGCATTTCACCACACTCTATGGAACACACAGTTTTAAAGCGCAGCTCTTAGGTGCCCATTTCCGTCTTGAGCAACATCGCCGTTGGTGTAACTGCGTGTTGCATTAGGAAACGTTTCCCATAATGACGTCACGAATGACTTCACTGTGCATTGCATTATGGATAAATTTATTGGAAAAGTTTCACCCACTAAATTTAGCAGAAAAATTCCCCCCGAAATTTAGTGCAGTATGCCCTGTAAAATCATGGAGCATATTGTTTATTTACATTTTGTTAATTTCATAGATGCTAACTCATTTTTTACACCCTCTCAGCATGGTTTTCTTCAATTTCTTTCCTGCGAGACCCAACTTTTTTTATTCTTTATCGAGGATCCCAGGTTTATTGCGTGTTTCTTGATTTCTGCAAAGTATTCAATAAGGTTCCTCACAGGCCTTTACTTCTCAAACTTGATAAACTTAACCTCGACCCCATTGTGTCTTTCTGGATTGAAAGTTTCTTACAAATCTGATTTAGTTTGTCGCTGCTAATCAAGCTAAATCTCACCTCAGTCTAGTAACATCCGGTGTCCCACAAGGGTGTTTTTTTAGGTCCCTTTTAGGGGCTAGCCATGTCCGTCTGCTGTCGGGTGCACGTGAGCACGTGCTCCCGTGCTTGTGTAGGGAAAAAAAAAATCGCAACTCCACATGGTGAATGATGTTGATTGGGTCGAAGCTCTGCTGGTGCTTGTCTGTGTAGACGATGAGCCTCAGCATGCCGAGCCTTTCATTCGTTTTCATCCATGTCAGAAAGAGAATGTGTGGTATGGAACGTGGTTATATACGCATTTGAGCATTTGACCACAGTGTGACATGGATGAAAACGAACGAGAGGCTCGGCATGCTGCGGCTCAGTGTCTACGCAGACAAGCACAACCAAAGCTTCGCCCCAATCAACATCATTCACCACGTGGAGATGCTTTTTTTTTTTTGTCTCTAATTTATATAAACTACTTGCCTCGGAAGTTTTCATCCTCTTTTAGCTTGTTTGCTGACGACTGTGTAATCTATAGCAAAATTACTGAGGAATCTGATGTTCTACTACTTCAAACAGATTTAGATGCAGTTTTGGAGTGGTGTAACACATGGTCCATGACCAAATGGAAAGCAATGTGTGTAACTCTATGTAACACCTCACCACTGGCCTCGGTACCTCTCCCTTGCAACTTGTAACTTCCTACAAATATCTTGGTGTTTATATTCCATAGCATGTCGTGGAACGTTCACATTAATCACATCTCTGCTAACGCCAACTCTATGCTTGGTTACTTAAAACAAAATTTCCCATTAGCCCCCATGTCACTAAAATTACTTTTATTTAAAACACTGGTACATTCAAAAGTAAAATACGCTGAACCAATCTGGGATCCCGGTCACTCAACACTTGTATGTAACATTGAGGCCGTCCAAAATTGCGGCGCACAATTTATCTTTTGTAATTATCACCATAACGCAAGTGTCTCGTCTATGAGAACTAACTTGTCTCTGCCTCTTCTTTCTTTGTGTTACAAAGTTTCTCGCCTGTGTCTTTTTCACAAAATTTATTGCTCGCCTACTCTAAAAGATCATTTCTTCTTCCTCCCCTGCATATCTCTGCTTGCATTGACCATCAATGCAGAGTAGGATTTCATCAGCGTCGTACTAATGCCTACATTGACCCTTTCATGCCCAGAACATCTTCCGAGTGGAACCACCTTTCCACATCTTTAGTGTCCATGTCATTACCTGATTTGTTCAAAACTGCAATACCAATCATCTTTGTTGATACTAACCTTGGCTGCACATGTTTTACATTGTCTGTATCTAATTTTGTTTTTTACTGAATTTTGTGCTGTATCTTGCCCCTCCCCTCTGTAATGCCCTATAGTGGCCCTGAGGGTGCTGAAATAAATAAGTGAATAGATAAATTGAAATGTAACTTATGTCTTTTTTTAACCATATGTAAGTGGGAGCTTGGGCTTTCAGGGAGTCGAGAGAGTGTCCTCTAGTCGTTTATATGCCCTTTTTATTTATATATGCAATTTTGGGTATCCCATAGAAATGGTTGGACATGAAATTTGTTCGGTCCAGAAATCATATCTACCCACTTCAACTGTATTTTTTTGTTTTTATTCATGAAAAGTTCCCAAGTTGGCAAGATTTCATAGTTTATAACATGGTTTAATTCTTACTGATCGGAGGAGGCTCTTTCGATTTTCATGTTTTGCCCTCGCAGATACCACAGGCGACAATCTACTTTGTTCTCGATTTCAGAGGTGTCTTGCCTGGAAGCCAGTTACCCATCATGCTCATCATGCCCACTGAGCACTGTAAGTTGGTTGTCGCTAAACTCGCATAATAGTCACCTCTGTTGCAGTGCTTTCCACTTTGTCCCTTTGTACTCTCCCGCTCCTGCACTTTGGTCTTTGCAACAGAAAGTTTTTTCGAATCTATGTTTAAAAATTTGAGCATGCGCAATTACCCGAATGAGCTAAAAGATGATATTCCTACGTGCAGGGGTGCCTTTGTTACAATAAGAAAAAGTAGCACTATGAACTGCTGTGGCACATACTCTGACAAATAGACGAAAATGAAGAAAAATAATGAAAGTGTTTTCAAAAGGCTTGTTTTTGTCAAAGAAACTAGAGCAATCACAAATGCGGTCTTAAAAGTTTTGCGCACTGTTTATACGCAAGCAGTTCTTACAAGATTTGGTTGTCGGAAGAAGGAGCAATGCTTTTGGCATCTGTAGCATGTATGTCTTGATAAGATAACATACTATATCTAATCTATAATGCACAGTGATGTGATTGCTGTGCCAATTGCGCCAAACTGCACCAAGGGGCTAACTCTGCTACATCCTGCTACATTTCGCCAAAATATGGCTAATCTGCGCCAAAGGACCAATTTTGGTCGCCTTTCAAGAACGAAACTAAACTGAGAACCGTAATTGAGCATGCGTGAGCTAGGTGGCACAAGACGCCACCCGACACAAAGTACCCTGCATCAATCGTCTATTCGGTCTTGCATGATTTTTCCCGCCGTCTCGCGTTTCGCGCTCTCGTCGTCTCAGATATCTCGTCTTGCGTCTTTTTCTTTTTTTTTTTTTTCTTTTTTTTTAAGCGATAGACGCGGCCGTGTGCGGACGCTCTGACGTTAGTGTGCCGGGTGCCAGACATGCTGTCATGCTGTGAAACAAAACCACGTTTTTGCGCGGCGAGGGTTACTTTGTGAGCTGAAGCGCACGCGCGACCACAGTCGCCGTGGTCACGCGACGTCGTGTGTTGCCGTCCCCACGTCGCTGCAGATATGGCGCCCTCTAAACTGAAACGCATCGACATTCCTGCTCTTGTTTAAATCATATGCTGCTATAAAAATCCCTCTTTAACTCAATGACTGCTTGGTGAAGTTTTGATTACTTAGGGTTCTCTCTGTGGGCTTTCTTTCGAGAGGGACCCCGGTACGTGAAAAATCTGCCGCGAAAGAAAGTTGATGACGAGAAGTGAGCTAAAGCAAAGAAGGCAATGTCTGCACGCTGAACCCGCACACCGCGCTTGTTTGTCTCGAATTCAGTCATTACACAAAGCGCTCCAAGAACTTTTTGACCCTGATTCGCAATGTCTTGCATCGATACGCTCAGGTTCTTTTTTTCGGCGTGTTTAGCCTGCACCTCGCCTGCCGGCCTGGCAAGCACGCGCCGCTGGACTGTTCATTGTCGCATGCTGGGCAGTTACATTTTGCATACTATTTTGGGAACCAGTTGGTGACGGAGCGGAGTGGCATGGTTTCGGTCGAACAACCGTTGTCTTCGCTCGCGCGACGAAGCACGCCCAATAGCAAGCCTGCCGAAGTCGCCCTCACGTCCATGTGAACATGATTGCATGAGAGGCACGTGTGCTTACTTTTTATAAAAATCTGCCACGTCGGGAACCAGTAAAACGATAACAATTTTTTTTTTATTTTTTTAATTGCTCGGCAACGCCTACAGCGCTGTATACTTGTGGGATGTCTCAGCAGCGGGTGCCGCCCCAACACGTCACATTACAACACAATACAAAGTGTTCTTCGTTTGTCCAGCACTTAAAACAAATATTTATTTTTCTAAGATATATGCTCCAAAAGTCACTTTTTCTGCTCCGAAACACTGTTTTGGCTGCTCCAAAAGGTGCTCTAAAATGGCTTAGGCCAATCACATCACTGAATGCACCAAAATATATCCTAATTCTCTACATAAAAAGAGAAATTATTAATGTTGCGCGAGAAGCGTAAATTTCCTGCCTACGGTGGCCGTCTGCTAACAATAGGTGTCCGATTTGCAAAAAACAGCCGATAAATAGAAGTAGGTAAGAGCGAAGGTGCAGACACACACAGATCTCTGATAGCGTCATAGCAGACAATGTATTTTATCAAATGCGGCAAAGGCTTTTTTGGTGTAGCGCATGGCCAATTTTACAAATAAGACATTGAATGGACAGAAAACGAACGAGGTCTTTGACGGGCTATTTCAGCTAGATGTCAATTGCTGCTGCCATCTCGGCTGTTGCGTTTCCCAGAGCCTAACATTTTTAGATGGCTGCCTTAGGTGGCAAGTTCACACTCATTGTTTTGCTCTTTAGTCGGGTCAGCTCATTCCTTAAAATTTTGATGCACAAATGCACCATCTTCGACATCTTCTGTGTAAAATATTGGATGATGCATTAAGGAACCGTTTGTAATTATATCAGCTTGAACTTTAGAAATATCTAGAACACAAAGACAGAAAGGACAGGATATGACACACAGCTGACTACCAACGATTTTTTAGTTTAAACTTCTTCCTTGCGCTAAAAACTAAAAAAAATCGTTGGTAGTCAGCTGTGTGTCATATCCTGTCCTTTCTGTCTTTGTGTTCTAGATATTTCTAAAGTACAAGCTGATATAATTACAAGTATGTACCAACAAGCTCAACTCTTAACCGTTACTAAGGAACCGTTCTACGTTGTCTTTTAAAAAAAATGCCGACGATTCATTTGACTCGCGTGGTAGTTTATGGAGTTCGCTTGGGTTACAGCACAGTTGAAGAATTCGTGCTGCATGAATTGCTTTGATAACGCCTACTTACAGCAATGCCACTCAGTCGCCCTTTGCGTCCTAACGTGCGTGGTAATGCCTCCTTTTCAGTCGACGGACAAGCTATCCAAGGGAACACCACGTGCCCAGTGATCGCCAGAGAGGACAAATTCGGGTGCTGCTTCTGCAGCTTCACCACAAGCGACCGACGTAAACTGGTCGAACACCTGACGGAACTTGCATGCAGACTGTTTGAGGGGTTTGAGTGCCATCCCTGCTCCAAGACCTTTCCCGACAGGTGGGCCTTCACGCGCCACCAGAGGATGCACACAGAAGGAGGTCCTCTCAAGTGTCCGCTTTGTCCCATAGAGTTTCGCTCCAGCCGTGACCTGACAATCCACATGGCAACGCATACTGGTGAAAAACCCCACAAGTGCATGGTTTGTCTGAAGGTGTTTGCTCGAAACTCAGACCTTGCAGACCACCTGCAGAGGCATGCAGAGGTAAAGCCTTACGAGTGCCTGCACTGTCCAAAGGCCTTCAAGAACAATTCTGGTCTGCGCCAGCACCAACGAACTCACACGAAGGAAAGGCCTTACAAGTGTGACCAGTGCCCAGTGTCAACAGCCACGCAGTACCATCTCAGTGTTCACATCCGTACCCACACTGGTGAGAAACCCTACAAGTGCACAATTTGTCCAAAGGCATTCGCTCGGAATGCAGACCTTGCGATCCACCAGCAGGGGCACACAGATGCAAAGCCTTACGAGTGCATGCACTGCCCAAAGGCCTTCAAGAACCACTATAGCCTGCGGCAGCACCTACGAACTCACACGGGAGAAAGGCCTTACAAGTGCGATCAGTGCCCTGTGTCAACAACCACGCTGTACCATCTCATTGTTCACATGCGTACCCACACTGGTGAAAAACCACACAAGTGCACGGTCTGTTCGAAAGCATTCGCCAAAAAGTCGGGCCTCAACATCCACTTGCGGATACACTCGGATGAAAAACCATACAAGTGCCTGCACTGCCCCAAGGCCTTCAAGGACCACTGTACCCTGCGTGACCACCTACGTATTCACACGGGAGAAAGGCCTTACAGGTGTGACCAGTGCCCTAGCTCGTTTGCTGCACGAAGCTCGCTGGTAACCCACATCCGTACGCACACCGGCGAAAAACCCTACAAGTGCACAATCTGTCCAAAGGCATTCACTCAAAACTCGGGGCTCAAGTCCCACTTGCGGTTTGCACACAAGATTAAAAGCCTTTCAAGTGCTGCACTGTTCCAGGGCCTTCAGGCACCACAGTAGCCTGCACAAACACCTACAAACTCACACGAGATAAAAATCAAACATGTAAGTAAAATAGTGTTCCAAGGCTTGCAATTTGAGGAATCCTCTTGCAAGACGTGATTAGACGTGCGTGGGACGCCATGCTGCTTCCAGCGGTTTCAGTTGGACGGAGCATCCAGTTCAGAAGGACTGAAGGTGTGCATCCTTTTAAATCCAATTGTTCTTTAGCACCGTTTATACTGGGGCAGTGAAACGATACCCGGGCACTTTTTGTTAAATTAGTTATATTACGCTGGAGGATGGTGATGTAGCTCCCTTTTGTGTCCAAAGACAATGGCAAAGCAGAGGGGACATATAAACAAAAAGGACGATGCAATACCTACGCCGTGGCGTTCCTTCATTGCTCATTTGGCGACGAGGGTAAAGCGGATGGCCCAGCTTCTACATAAACATTCTAAATTCTGGGAAGGAAATAATTTATAAATTTGGCTATTTTTTGGTTATAGAATGGTTATTAATATTTACACCATATAAAAGCAAAGATATACATGGTATTCCAAGGTAAACATAAGCAAGTAATGGTGGAACTTTCTGTGGCCGAGATAACTTCCGGCTGACAAGCTTCTTTGTATGTTTCAATGAACACGAATGAACAGCACGTCTCCCAAGTTTTTCTCGGCGGAAAATCGGAAAAGGTACGTCGAAAACCAAACGTAAGATAGTTTGGTGTGTGTTTCTGGACCATACGGCAGCCAAGAAAAAGCACCGCATCTCGTTTTATTTGGTGTCCGTGGCGAAAGTTACTTGGCTCTACCCCCTGATGTCAATGACAATTGTCATTGAGATCAGTGGCTCTGCTTGACGACCCAGTGGAAACTTGTGTACACGCGAAACATTCAACGAAGTTAGGCGCCCATAAATCAACCGAGGCATGTATGTTCCCTGTTCTTCGTGCACGGGGGAGCGTGTGTGGGAACAGCATCGCTTCATACACTACTCAGTGTCGCCATGAGTGTTCAACCTGTCAGACGTAGTTGAAGGAGGGCGTGAATGATTGTGCCACTCCTGTTCGATCGTGCCCGGGGAAAAGTGAGCGGTGTGTTTTCGACGACAAGCGAAGATATTGTGATTGTGACAGCGTCGACCTACTGCGGCGATACCGTGAATGATATTCACGTGGATACAGGTGCAGACGTGGACGTTGAAAGGCAATTTTAGATTGTGGAACCCAGGCGATATGGTAAGAAAACTAGTTTCGCGTCCGACTTGTTACGATCACGCGACGCTCCTGAGGACGTATTTCATTTGCTTCAACTGCCCTGTTTGGGCAGACGCACACAAGCACTGTGTGTTTCACGACGTGGGTGAGTAATAAAATAGGATGGTACCCATGCTGTTTTACGTCTTGCTTTAATTGTGTAGCGAGCAGACGGTTTATTGCATGCTGAAAAGAAAAGTGGCTCTCTAACTTCAGAAATTGACATGTCTGAAATTAAAAATAAAATGAACCCCAGGTTCAGTTCTTGCTAAAAGATCCCTTCCATTCTGAAGCCTTCCGCTGACACAAACTCTCAAAGTTTGTTTTATTTTTTAGTTTGTCCATGGGTGGTTGTTGGAGTTTGCTCATGACTCACATAAACCGTCCGTTCACAAGCTCGCATGCGCACGAAATTTAACACGGGAAGTAATTCTGCTCTAAGATTTAAAAGAAGTGCTGTAAAAACATTTTATGCATTAGATATTTAATGCAGTGCCGTGATGGTTTTATGAAAATCTACAATCGGGCTAAAATAAAAAGTTGCATCTCAGCAAATATTAATCTCGCAATCAATCTATTTCCGTAAGAGCTCAAGTGTGATTCCTTCGTTGTCCAGAAGGGTCGAATGTGTGCATCTAATTTCAAGTGATCCTAGTGTTGAGCGTGAAATCGACGCTTGTGTGACAGACTTTGTGCTCGACGGCTCCAGCGAAGGACGGGTGGAGAGGGTTGCGGCGTGCAAAGAGCAGGAGGAGGGTAGTGTCGCGGTGGGCCATTGACCTTAGTGTCGTCACTGCACTGCATCTTTTATTTCACGGAGATCTGCCATAACAATGTTGCCCAGTCAATTGCAAAGCATTACAGCACTTCGAGAAGCCAGTAGAAGCAAAAAACGTAACAAAATGCTGATTTAATTGCAATGTTTTGTCCAAGCATGCAAAGGGACAGAGACGCAGCACTTCGGCATGTCAAGGAAGCTTTGATAACGCCACGAGACCGGCGAAACTTGCTTTCAATGAGCTGTGCCTTTTTTCTGCGGTGCTGTGCTTTTGTAAGAATTTCTACATGTTCTCAAAGTTAAATCTCACCTTTTACACAAGGTTTTAAAAAACTTGTTCGGTGAATGACGACGAGAGAGTAGAAACCGTGTCTTCAACTCGCTGCCGCCAGCCTCTGCAGCGCTCCAAAAAGATGATTTTGCTGCATGCAAAATGTCCCTCCGGCGGGCCGTATCACTAAACAACACGGAATGAAAAACGCTGAACGCGGGTAGGATTTAGAACGCCAAGGTAGAAAACCTTTATTCTGGGTAAGCTTGGGAACACAGCCATAAATATCTATACCCGTTTTCACTTTAAGAATCATAATTAAAAAAAAAAAAGGCTGGTTTCTCGCAGAGCATTCCTGATTTACCCCTTTATGTAGAGAATGGACCTTTTCCACATACCGACGGCACCAGGCGGTGGCTGCATGAACTAAAAATGGAGGAAGTGACCTACCTGCGCTACCAATCGATAATGGGAGCTACGCTACCAGTTTTTTCGCTCTCTGAGCAGCGGCGCCTGCCCAACGCGACTTTAAAGAGGGGCATCCGTGGCGACCTCCCAAACGTCGTGTTTTCCTTTCCGTCGACGTTTTTTTTTTTGTGTAACACAATTATATATATGCTGCAGTTACGTGTTCTACTCGCTGATATACAGCCTCCTTCCGAATTTCCTCGATTTTTCGTTCCGACTTCCGCCGCTTAGTATCGGGCGCTCACGCGTGCGCAGAACGCTTCTCGGAAAAGGTCCATTAAGATATATGTAGTTGCACTTTTACGCCAAAACCATCGCTTTTTCCTCCGACAACCAAATCTCCTAAGAACTACTTCGCGGCGCGTATGAACTATGCGCAAAACTTGCTTTTAGTCGAATTTTACGTACAACCTCTGTTATCTGCTCTTAGCACTCACGTGTTCTAAGCTGCGAAAGGAGCCAAGTTGGGGCAAGAAATGGAGAATATATAGGAAAGGAGGAGGAGGGAAAAGGTGGTATGCGCGAAGTGCAAGGCGACGTGTACGTCGGTCTTTACTTTTTACTCGCCAAATTGGAATACTTCCCCACCACGTAGATGGCGCTACCGGCCGCCCGATACCCGAATTAAGAGGGGTTAGTTTTCGGTTTAAATAACGTTGGTTTAAACTGATTGATGTATAAACTTTAATTCAACATACGTGTTTGACTGCTAATTTTCTTAAAGGTTTGCTGTTGTAGGTCTATCCAATAACCGTGTGATCCGGTCTGTCTCGTCTGCAAGGAGGATAGAAGGGTAGGAGAGGGCATGACGCCAGCCGCGTAGCCTCCACAAGCTATGCTCCCTTGACACCTTGCCTCTTTCTCATTTTCCTCCTTAATCTCCTTACTTACCAGGGTAACATGACCAGATCACGTGACCGTAGCTAGCCTTCGTCTAACCATGGGGTACTAGAAAACACCACAGTTTAGCTTTCGATCTGATAAAACCTACCAGACGGAGCGCGCGCAAGCCTGCAAGGAGCCCATCTACAATCAACCATCCATCTCACACGTGACATGTCGCGTGCACCAATTGCCATAGAGATCTACGGTCACGTTGGCCACAACATTGTTTAAACTTTTCATGACTAGGCTTCACCAATATTGCAACATGCCCTCTCCTAGTACTTCTAACCTCCTTGGTCGTCTGCGATGAAATGGCAGAGCCCATAAGTTTTCATCTCTGTAGTGAAACTGGCACTTGTTTCCCCTCCAAGAACAAGATTTCGGCCCTTGCCATTTTCAGCGGTCGTGAGTATGGCGCGTTCTTTGGTCGCTTTTCCAATCGACAACTGAACGCTGAGCTGGGCTACAATTGCTGAACCAGTTGCAGGGCACCTCCTTCGAATGCCTGGCCTTCTGCATCAAGGAGTATGTAGGGATTGGTGTTCCACACGCCGCACGTGCTGGCCTCAGCAGTAGTAACTTTTCTAAAGCAAATACCTAAAACAAAAGGCATCTTGCACGCGTGTTCCTCAACGCGTTATATTGGTTATTTACTTCTAACCTTTTATACGGGAAAGGCGTGCACGTGTGGTGTGTGATGCTTTATCAAAGGCAGAGGGGGGAGGGAGGGGGAGTATCTCTCCCCCTGACAGGGGGGGGAAGAGATACAATTCCGATTTTCCTGTTTACCTTGTGGGTTCGCGGCAAGAAAAGTGGGACAACCTCCTCCCGCGAAGCCTTCCACCCTCTCCACTTAGCAGAGGGAATGCCTGAGAGAAGGCGAGACAAGGTGAGGAGGCGCTCGTCTTTCCGGCATCCGCTGTGCTAAGTGGAAGGGATGGAAGCTTCACAGGAGGAGCCTACCCTGCATTTTTTATCCTGCAAAAGAGCAAGCAATGGACCTTTTTCCAGTAAGCTTCTGCGCATGTATACACGCTTTCCCCTGGCCTTGCTCCCCGCCGTTTTCATTTTCGCAGGGCACTATCCCGCACGACCGACATTGTCAGCGTCTATTTTTCTGTGTACTTAGCCTTTTTAGACGATTTTTTTTTGGGGTATTGGTAGTATGACGCATAAACAGCAATGAAAACCGGTACGACAATGTCTCCTTTTCAGCCAGTGGAATAGTGCTCCAAGGGAACACCACGTGCCCAGTGATTGCCGGAGAGGAGAAGTTTGGGTGCTGCTTCTGCAGAATTGCCTCCGGCGACCCGCATAAACTGGTCAAACACTTGACGGACCTCGCTTGCCAACCGTTTGAGTGGTTTGAGTGCCAGCCCTGCTCAAAGACCTTTCACGACAGGTGTGCCTTCACGCGACGCCAGAGGATGCATGCAGAGGGAAGACTTTTGAAGTGTCCGCTCTGTCCCGCAGAGTTTTGCTTCAACCGTGACCTGGCAATTTATGCAGCAGGGCACATGAGTGGAAAACCCTATAAGTGCACAATTTGTCCAAAGGCGTTCGCTTGAAGCTCAGGCCTTGCGAACCACCTGCAGGAACACAGATCCAAGGCCTCACAAGTGCCTGCACTGCCCAAAGGTTTTCAAGGACCAGTATAGCCTTCACCGACACACACACACTCATGCGTTACGAAGGCCTCGCAATTGCTACGAGTTCCCTGCCTCATATCCTACATGAGACCCTCTGATGTCGACTTTTGTGTGCACACCAGCGAAAACTGTACAAGTGCTCGGTCTGTCCGAAGTCATTTTCCCTAAACTCGATGCTCAAGACCCACTTGCGGTTGCACACAGGCGAAAAACCTTGCAAGTGCCCAAACTGTTCTATGGTCTTCAGGCACAAAAGTAGCCTGTACAAACACCTGCTAACTCACATACAAGAGATAGGGGGCCTACAGATGCGAGCAGTGTCCCAAGGCTTTCAATTCGAGAAAGCATCTTGCAAGACGAGGAAAACGTACAAGCGATATCGTGCCGCTTTCGACAGCATCATTCTGACAGGGCGACCAGTTCGGGTCTGAAGGTGTGCCTATATGATTATTCTCAGCACCATACTTTGTTAGGCAATTATACGATGCCTGAGCATTTTGACTCAATATTTTTTTATTTTAGTATGTTGGAGGATGATGACATTGCTGTTTGGACTCTGCCATCTTGAGATGCATTTTTGAGAGTGTCTATCCTTACATTACAGTTTCTGCTTTCTGAACCGGGAGAAGCTTCAATAAATGAGTGGCCAAACTCTGACTTGGATATTGCCACTGCTCTTGTTTGGGTCTGTAGTCTGTTGCAGGTTATAAAACCAGGACAAGCCTGTCCCACAAACTGCCCACTCTTTCCACTTTGGAAAAAAGCGGTTGAATGCCGGATGGGAGGCGAGTCCCTTTTTCGCAAAGCTCAAAGCTTTGCGAAGTCGGCGCAAAACTAAGTTGTAGGTTTATCTCAAGTGCCTTAAGGCAGGCACTTGAGCCTGCGCTAGAACAAGGTCGCAACCTTTTAGGATGTAATCCACCCTTTTCCGAATTCCCAGTGTGAGAGGTTTTCAGTAGGAAGCTGCTGCATGGGTGTGGCACAAGTGAGTCGAACATTTCTTTGGGTGATGACGCTAGATCCTGTTGGCTTCATTGTCCAAGATTGAGCTCCTGACATTACTTTTTTGCCCAATCTGCCTGATCTTTTGTCCCCCAAATTGATTCAAGGGGGCTTCTCCCTGCACCCCTTCCTACTGGCACCTTTTCTCTCCTCAAACTCTCTAACAAGAAATCCTCAAACCAGGGCTCCAACAGATGGTTCCAGTTCTTTGGAAAAAAGTGCCAAAAGACTTCATCTACTTCACAAACACGCCAAGCAGATGTGAACGCCGAAGTTGACAACTCTGCAGTGAAACAGGTTTGCAAAGATGTCGCAAACTTTTGTCAAACTTTGGGTTCAATGTTGAACGGTGAAACATCGAGACTTGACTGGTGCAGCAAACTTTCAAACTTGTAGCGAAGTTAGAGTAAGTTAAACTTTATTGCCCTGCTTTCTACACAAACATTTTGAACAGGGATGGGCAGTATTTCAAAAACAAGTATTTGAAATACGTATTTCAAATACTTTGTATTTTGCATTTGTATTCCATTACAAATTGGGTAATGTATTTGACGTGTATATTTGAATATTAAAACGTGGGCATTTTAAATACAATTGTAATTAAATACAATTTTGTGGGCGAAAATACATCCCTCATATTTATTGTCTTTGTTCAGAGCAGGAAGAAAACTATGTTCTGCACCGAATGCAGTGTCTCTCAATCAAGCACAAGCGTTTAGTGACTTTGGGATTACGGTGCTAGTCCAGGGCAAGAATAGTGACGAAATTGACGTTCACAGGAAGACTGGCTAAATAAGTGCCTGTGACAACTTGTGATGCTTTCTAGCTTGATTTCCATCCATATGTTTGCCTGGAACATTCTAAATGCGCGGGTCGTCCAGATTTTCGTAACTGGTGCGAGTTGCAACAATAAAAAATTCTCTAGCTAGTGCTGCGCGTCTCGGTCGTCTCGGTTCTTCGTTGGTCTATACCAAAATGTATAATCGAAAAAAAAAAAAAAAAAAGCTGCTTGAAGCTTTGTACTTTGTTCACCTATTACGTCCAAGCTGATTACATTTTTTTGTGATTATATTTCTATTACGTTAATAGAGCCTCGCACACTAACTCTTGAGTGTGCGATGCAAAATTAAAATCAGATACCCAGAAACCCATTGCAGTGCCCTGAAGTCACTGATGCAAATTTTGAGGAATGTATTTGGAAAAGTATTTGGAGGAGACCAAATACATTTGGTTGTATTTGTATCTTGTACTTAAGTTTTTTTTTTTAATGTAATTAGATTTGTAATTAATTACATTTTTGATGAAGTATTTTGTATTTGTATTTCAATACATATTTGCATGTATTTTACCCATCCCTGATTTTGAATATTGGGGAGCAAATCATATAAATTAGATTATTTTATATTTTATAAAAGTGTCACCCATACTTACATTGTATAAAAGCAAGGATATGTAAAGAAAGAATAAGTAAGGCGAGCTGGTTGATGTTACACATTTTTAAAAAAAACGGAGTCGACGAATGAAGAAGGAAACAAACACAAAACAGTGTTGCTGTAGTAGCTGCCTTGGAGACATTTTGTGTTTGTCCCCCTCTTCGTCAGTCGTCTCCATTTTTTTTTCTTTCAAAAACGTGTAGCAAAGATTTGTATTTGTACTGGTTAGTTTATTAGTGTGATACAATAAAACACAGCCTTTCCAGCCCCTCGCCTAATTTTTGTGCATTCGCACAAAAGCCAAATTTTGGTTGAACCTTTGTTAAAGGCCGACCTACAAAATCATTTTCCGCAAGGTTGGAAAATCCTCCTCGCCACCCTTCCATTTCCGCCTCTCCCACTCTTGATTGCGTTGGGACTCCTTTAGTTACTGCATCTTAAGGCCCGTTCACACTCTTGCGACCGAGTACGACTGAGAGAGGCGAGATCTCTTACAACTTCTTAAATGTTTCTAGAATGAGGGAACACACTGACATTGTGGCGCCATCTATGCGGTGACCCTAGAACTGCATTTCACAAAAGCGAAGGTTTTGCGGGATTTCCGAGGTCAAATGTGCGTAATGCCCATAGAAAGTCTCGTTTATAACATTGACAAAAGCTTTTCGAGCCAAAAAAGAAAGGATATTGCGCGAGAAATAAAAAAAAAAATATGCCGGACCGCCGAGTTTACACTGCTTCCCAATAGATGGCGCCAGTGTGTTTTCTGGTTTAAGAAGTTTTAAGGAACCCAGGTTTAAGAGGTCGCAAGCAGTCGCAAGAGTGTGAACGGGCCTTTAGGGCCGACTCGCGGCTCATCCAACCCCAACAAGAGGAGTCTCCCTCTGCTCATATAGCAGTGGGAAAGGGGGAAATGGGAGGGGTCGCGAGGAGAATGAAGGAATGAATTAAACGTGATATTAAGATTCTACCCTAGTCCGGGTTATCTATCTATGGGCTGATGGAGCTGATGGTCCAGTTGGATCGTCGTGCTCACGGCTCTGGTCGTGCTCGTGTAGCAGTGCCCACAGCCGATGGTGGTCTTGGGATGGTGCAAACCATTGTTCCCAGGTGGTGGGTCTAAGGTGTGCAGGTACAGAGGAGAGCAGGGTGTTGTGGGAAGTCTGTGCCCTGGTGCACAGCCACAAAACATGTTCGTTGTTCGGGTATTCACGAGTCGCCGCAGTAATCGCATTGTGGCGGTCCCGTCCGACCCTCGACATGATGTTGAAGAGGAGAATTTTCCTACCTTGCGGAAAACCTTTCTGTAGGTCGGGCTTTAAACTTTCAGTTGAAAGTTCGAAAACTTCGTATCTGATCGGACTCAAACCGCAATATTTGAAACATCCCTACACACTAGGTAGATGGCGCAACCGGCCGCCCGATGCCAATATGTAAATATAATACAACCTTTTTTTTGCAAACCTTATTTTAACACATTTGACATGTCTTTGAATAGTAACTTTTTAAGGTTTGTTATTTATTTGGGTTCTTTACTCCTTGTTCATATTATGGTTGTTTTGTTGACTTTTGTTTGTCTATCCATCATCACCTCTTGCGACAAAATGGCAGCGCCCATGTGTTTTTGTCTCCGATTTCAGTCCAGCGAAGCCACACGGCCAACACGGCTCTGAGCGAAGTCAGCGAGGCTGCCCACACGTAACGTTGCTACACGTACTACAACACCTACAACCAGCTACAACCACTACAACCTCGTTGATGTACTAGCACACTTATCCGGTGCCATATTCAGCGGTCGTGTGAGTATGGCGCGTTCGCGTTCTTCACTCGCTTTCCCAAGCGGCGTACAAGTGCGTCCAAATGGCGATCGAACGCTGGGCTGTGAGTTTGTAAACATTGAAAAACAGTCGCAGGGCGCCTCCTCCGAATGCTTAGCATTTCGCACGCGCTCCTTGTCCATGGACTTTCTGTTGTCCCCCCTCCAGCGCGAGCTCTTGATAACGCTCCGGCGTCTCGAGTACAGTACTTCAAGCGGGCAGGCACGCGCAGCACTGACGAGATGAAAACTGCACACACGCTCATTGCCTACGCCACGCGTGGCTGGCAGAAGCGCCGCGGTCGCCTCTGGTTTTGCCAGCTCCGCGTTTCATCCTGACGCATGTTCATGGACTAGCAGTTGCGACCTCGACCCGCGCATGGGCGCAGTCAAAAAAACCCGTAGCTTTTAAAGACGGGCGACACTTCTGTTCGGGGCTTCAAGTATGGCAGGGAGCCGAGCCAGGGCAGAACCTCCTCAGGACGCAGGAATCGGGAAGGACCAGGAGGGCTATGTTGCGCTTTTTGCACTCCCAGGAGACTTGGAAGAGGGAAGTGACGTCAACGACACAGCAAACGCAGATTGGATGCTGATTTCGTTTTCTTCTGTCAACATCCAATCTGCGTTTGCTGTGTCGTTGACGTCACTTCCCTCTTCCTAGTCTCCTGGGAGTCCAAAAAGCGCAACATAGCACCCCAGGGAGCAGGTCTCGTATAAATCTGTTTATTTTCATATTGACAGGTTCAACTTGAGAACACTCGAGAACATATGCTAGCAGCCGCATTTCCCGGGAATCCCCATGGTCAATGCCTCGACCAAAGCAGTGAGGCCATTGTTCCTAACATCCCGGCATGCCCACCCCTCTCCTCTCCCTCACACACTGGCACTCGCGTCACTCTCACCGAGGGGCCAGACGTCCTTGGTCACTGTGTCGCCAGTCAATCTCATCGATCAACGGCACCAGGATGGGAGCAGAGAGATAATTGTCACCCAATGCAGGTGTTTTGGTTTGCGTGCGGTAGGGAGTACACGTCAAGAAACTGGGAGAAACGCAGTCGGCAACGTTCGCTTAGATCCCGCCATAGCTAACTAGACGCATTTATGCCGAGGTCTTCATTGATCCAAACACTATGATTACTGGAACTGTGCTATGTTTCAGTGATTGAAAAAAAATAGCAAATCAAGCCAAAAAGAGGAGTGGGTTACCTTTCCGGGGTGGTGCATTTCTCGGGATCTCGGGAGTTGTAACACATTTAAGGGCTTGTAAGTTTTGAGTTATTCTCAGGTGTGTGAGCCAGGCAGCTCAAATAGGTAGTCGTGAAGATGCACCCACGATACCTTCGGCAGATTTGTAATTTCTTTGACCAACAAGTTCTCCATCTTCTCAAGCAAGGAATCGGGAAGGCATGTCGATCCAGTATAAGTAAATTTGCGGAGGTACCGCAGTTGGTCCTCGACGCTCAGACCTTTAAAGGGTAACTGCAAAGAAAAAAAGCTTTTTTTTAACAGCCTAAATGAGACAAGCATGCCAAAAAACAATTTTTCCACGAGAAAACAATTTTTCCGCAGCAATATTTATTTTGTGAGACTGATTTTAGTTTCCGCTATTTCGTCCATTTTAAATCGCACACCACAAAGTGGGTATTTTACGTCATGGAGTGGCTGCTATACTTCTCATTGGCTAAGAGTTTGACTGACAGCTTAGATCTTGGTTGTTAAACCTTTGTTATATGTTGTAAGTTCCTTTTGAGCGGCTAAGTCAATCCAAGAGCAAATTACAAGAGCGAGCAGTGGTGCGTACTTCTCCTCCATGCGGGTCGAAAGAGCGGGAGTTTCAAATGTGGAGAGGTTGTGACTCCCACTAAATTAAATCCTGCAGCGTAAATATTGCTAAAAAAAAAATTCTTTTTTGTGGAAAATTTGTTTTGGGACATGCTTGTCCCAATTAGGCTGTTTAAAAAGCACTTTTTTTTTTTGCAGTTAACCTTCGAAGCATGCGCTACTCACTGGGGGTCCTCAAAAACAAGCAAAAACAATGGCCAACCGGAAGCAACATGCTCCCCCTGAAGTTGGCCATGCTTGCTTTTGTTTGAATACCTGTATGTTATTGCTGTAAATGCTTATGACAAGAACAAGAAGACAATGTATTCATCACTCTTCCTATGTGTTCTTTCAAGGCCAACCTTTCCAATTTACTTTATTTACCTAAATATAAATAATATATAATTTTTTTTTTTTGGGGGGGGGGGGGGGGGGGAGATTTGATGCAGTCTCGCAAAGAAGTAGGCTTCATATTGAGTGGACACAACTTTGAACTTCCTGGCATTGTCAGGACTTCACTTAAAAGCATTTAATTGTGTTCCCAAGCATGTTGACTTACACTTGGGGGGGGGGGGGGGGAGACTTGTGGCCAAGTGTGTTAACTCGCCGCAGATTGAGCAAAAGCGTGGTTCTGACCCCACTGCTACCCGTTTTGACCTGGATGAGCATATTATACCGGCGTCTGTCCATGTAATCAGCATTGCATGGTGCACGCTAAAGACTCCAGGCTAACGGTCGTGCTGCACTTCCTAAATTTCTCATCTGCAGCGAAGAGACAGGACACCCTTTGGGGATGGTCAACTTCCCTGCTGTCTACACAAAACAAAATTACTTTTTACTTGCGCTTGGCTTCTGCCTGCCATCCAAAGAATGTGTGACACTGCAAAAAATTTTTCTTCTTGCGGGCCATTCTTCTGGCGCGGTGAATGCAAAGGCTTGGGTGGAGTATTTGGAATTAACTCATGTTCCTGACATTTAATTGTGTACCTTGATGTGAGTGGAAGAACTCGAGGAGGATAACAACGGCAAGAAGTCAACTATCTCACACAAAGACAACAGCGTCTCATCACTCTGCAGCTGAACTCTTCTGAATCGTCTGCAAAGCCCGACACAGGGCGTGATTACGACTTATGTTTCGTTAAAAACAAAGAAACCATTCTAGGGAGAAAAGGTTGAAATATAATTTGGGGTTTTGCTGGATTATATAAATGAGAGTTTTTATGCTCTGAGAGAGTCGAGGCATTTTCTTACGATTGTTTCTATAACCATGCGTTTCGGGCGAATCCGCCAAAGGTCCGTGAGGCACAAAAATACTCCGTCAAGACATCAACCACCATTTGATCCATTTCTTATTTATCAAGAGTTATCGAGTTGGCCAGATATAGTAATTTATAACACAATTTAATTTTTAATGATTTAGTGGGCACTCCCAATATTCATGCCTTGCTCCGGCAGAAACCAGAAGCATCAATGTGCCTTGTCCTGCATTTCAGAATAGACATGGCTGGAAGCAAGTTACCCATGGGGCTCATCATGCCCACTGAACATTGTAAGTTGGTTATAACTAAACTCGAGGAACGGTCACCTTGTAATGTGGCACTCGCCACTTCTTCTTTCGTTCTGTCCCTCTTCTATGCTTTGATCTTTGTCGGTGTTAGATTGCAGATGCAACCTAACACCGATACCCTGTTGCAGGCTAAGAATAGCTGGACTAGGCGACAGCCTGTTGCAGGCTAAGAATAGCTGGACCAGCTCTTTCCACTTTAGCAGAGCAAACACTAGAGAGGGAAAAAGTGGAGAGGAGGAAACCCCCATTCACGGCAAGCAGAGAGCTGTGTGAGTGGGGCTTAATTGTCCTGCTATTCTTAACCTTTAACAGACTTTATTGTTGGTTTGTTTACACTGACAGATTAATTTAACGAAACCTCAGAATGATTCATCTACGATGCCGTTGACCAGTAAACCAAGTTCTATGCGGAGTGTACCATAATTTTGCACCAAGATGCAACCAGGTGGAGAACCAATGTTTTAAATTTCAAGCATGTGCAACTACCTAAACGAGTTGGAAGGAAAAAAAAAAAATTATATTCCTATACTTGGAAGGGTTACCTTTGCCAAAATGAAAAAAAGCATCATTACGTACTGCTGTGGCACATACACCGAAAAAGATCAATGGTAATGATGCGAGACAAGGCAGATTTTGCGTTCCCAAAGTCTGGCTGTTGTCAAAGAAACTCTAGAACAACATTGAAATGCTTCCTTGTTCACATGGGAGAGAAGGTTTGTGGTACACCTGACCATGCAGAAGTAACTTCTGTATGTTCGCGTGCATTCGTTTGCATGTAAACTTTTAAGACGTTCCCACCGTCTACTTATACGACTTTGGGGAAATCTACAGCCTACAAAGTCGCTAAGCTACTGTGCGAATCAAATGAATTGTCGACCCTTCAAAAAAAAAACAACCTAGAAAGAAGAAAAAAAAAAGTTTGAACAGTCTGGTTGGGACACACAATTAGAAAAAATTAGAATTAAAAAAAAAAAAAAAAGGATTTTAAGATTAATATTGAGGGTGCGAGGCGCAATTTAGTCGGCAGTCACCTCCTTTTCACTTGTTTTCTCTCGGCATTTCGGACGCGTGGAGGAGAGGTGGATTGGCTTCGTCTTCACGACCAAGATGGTCTGACATCATGGACTTTGCGCACAGAATTTCAAATAAAGCTTTCGCCACCAATATTGCTCTTAAATTGTTTTTTTTTCTTTGTTTTCACGTAATATTAATTTTTTCACGCATTTGTCCTACCCAGACTGTTTGAAAAAATATATTATTTTTCTTTTCAGGGATCCTTTAATGGTCCACACAGCAATGTTTTCTTACGTTACATATAAGTCACTAAAACATTTGTGTCTTGAATGTCACGTTCCAGGCTATCCCATTGAATTGGTAGCCATGCTTAGAACGAAGCACAGACTGTTCGTAAGCTTTTGTAACAAAACACAAGAAAACCGGGCCGTGCGAACTGACCTTGAGAGGATTGCGAAAGTCTGTCCTCTCATTGCACTAACATTTTGTACGGGCTACGGGGGTGCCCGAAGACACTGCAATTTGTTTATACAAATTTTAAAGAATTAACTTACCTGAGTAATTAACGCAAAATGAAGCGTGTGAATTCACTACCTACGGCGGCCATTTGCCAAAAGGCGTCTGATTAGTCAATAAATTGAAGCAAGTAGGAGTGATGTTGAAAAAACTGATCCCCAATAGCGGATAGCGATTTTAAGTCAGATGCGGTGCAGGCTTTTTCGATTTCGATTTTTGTCATTTTTAATCCACTCGCAACGAAAAAAGATTTTTGTCGGGCTATTTCAACTATATGCCACCTGCTGCCTCAATCTCACGTCTATTTGATCACCCAGACGTCTAACATTTGCAGACAGCCGCTGTAGGTAGTAGCAAATTTGAACTCTTATTGTTTTACCCTTTACGTTGGTCAGCTCACTCTTTGGAATTTTGAAGCGCAAAATGAACTGTCTTTTGGCATCTCTGTACGAAATCTTAGCTCAGTGGTTTAAAAAACAAACATTTATCCGGTCTTTTCAAAGGATTAATGATTAACTTGACTCGCGCAGCAGTTTATCTGGTCTGCTCGGGTGACCACTCAATTAAAACTTAGTGCTTCATAATTGCCGTTATGTCTACCTACAACAATGCCACTCAGTTGCGCTTTGCGTCCCAGTGTGCGTGAGAATGCCTCCTTTTCAGCCGACGGACAGGCGACCCAAGGGAACACCACATGCCCAGTGATCGCCGGAGAGGACAAGTTTGGGTGCTGCTTCTGCATCCTCACCACCGCCGACCCGCGTAAACTGGTTGGACACCTGACGGACCTCGCTTGCCAACCGTTTGAGAGGTTTGAGTGCCAGCCCTGCTCGAAAACCTTTCCCAACAGGTGTGCCTTCACGAGACACCAGAGGATGCACGCAGAGGGAAGACCGTTCAAGTGTCCGCACTGTACTGCAGTGTTCCGCTTCAACCATGACCTGGCAGTTCACAAGGCAAAGCACGCCGGTGAAAAACCCTGCAAGTGCACAATCTGTCCGAAGGTGTTCGCTCGAAGCTCGGACCTTGCGGACCACCTTCAGGCGCACACAGATGAAAAGCCTTACGGGTGCCTGGATTGCCCCGAGGCCTCCAAGAACCACACCAACCTGTGCCAGCATCTACGAACTCGCACGAGAAAGAAGCTTTACGGGGGACATCTGTGCCCTGTGTCAAGAACTAAGCCGTGCCACCTCATTGTTTATGGCCGTACCGGCACTGGTGAAAACCACACAAGTGCACAATCTGTGTGAAGGCATTCTCCGAAGTGTCGGTTCTCAGGAACCACTTGCGGGTACACTCTAGGGAGGACGTTGGAAACTTTCGTCGAACTGTGGATTCGACTTCGACATCAAACTTCGAGGGCCGCTTGACTGGTTTGGCGAATTTTCAAACTTTTAGCAAAGTTCAACGTATGGACAGTGGTGCCCGAATTCTACACACACATTAAAAGTATTGCTAATATAAAAGCAAATTTTTGTATTTTTAACGCCTTGATATTTTTTTATTGAAACAATAAAAGATATACCGAACAAATAATTCATTTTTCTTTTGCTCAGTAGTTGTAAAATTTAAGTTCAGTCGCACTTCCTTTAAACTTCGAGTTAAAAGTCCGAAAACGTCGAACCTGGTAGAAGATTACTTCAGTCAAGATCGGTGAGTGTAGTTCACCTTTTTAAAGTTATCATGAAGGCATTTTCCAGCCAACCAACCTACTGATCTCCACTATACACGTTTGCAAGTCTGACTTCAGGGCGCTGCCATCTTGCTCGGCTGGGGTGCGCTTGGACGAGTCATAATCCGATTACGAAGCCTTGCTAAGGCGGCGTAATCGGATTATGGCCGCGACCAAAAGCGTACCCCACTGAGGAAGATGGTGGCGCCCTGAGACCGGACTTGCAAACGTGTATAGGGGGCTGGATGGCGCATAGCTGTTCTCCGAGCCTGGCGCTAGTGAAGCTACCGGAAGTTCGATGCTTGTCCCGGAAGTCAGGCGTGTGCTGGGCTTCCTAGTGCATTCAGTCAATGTTTTTGTTCATGCTTTCTTGTGTCTTTGATTGGGTTCTAATACTCCCGTTCCGAATTAAATCCCGAGAACAAGGCATTTGAACGTGAGACATGCGCACGTTTGATCAACTAGAATCTCAAACTTTTCACATCGAATGGCTTCCCAGGAGACTTCTTGGGTCCACATGCGCTGTTACTCCACAACAAGCAGGCTCTCTTGGGATGACAAGAAAAAATCCAGCGCTCTGAACGCTGTTCGATTCAGTCAGCCCTCGGAAGAGTTGAAAATCCTGTCAGGCGCTTACTTCCGGGACAAGCCGCTTACTTCCGGTGGCTTCACACCTGTCTGCTCACTGATCTCTATGTCTATCAGTGGTCTGGTGGTCTGCTCAATACGCCATCCAGCTATGGTGCCTGGAACGCGTCTCCGACTGGTGTGTTCACCGCGGCCAAAAAAGTGGTCCCTCGATTTCCGCCTGATGACGTCATAAAAGTGTCATGCTGTCGCCGGTCGCGACCCTGGCGGCGTCCCAACAGCTGTGGTGTATGTGGCAGATGCCTGTTCTGCTGCAGGTCGCTTTCCACTGTGACAGTTCACGGAAGCTAGAGAAGCCGGAGTTGGGACGCCTAAAGGGACTCCGTGACGACAACGACACTCGCGTTCGCTCGTGCTTTTCGCCAGCATTTCTACGGCCAACCGCCAGGATCGCCACAGGCAACAGCATGACATTCGCGTCATTTATTGCCACATCGGGACCACTTTCGATGTATGGGCGGGATAGGACGCTAAACACACCAGTCGAAGACGCGATCCAGGCACCATAATCCAGCCCCTCTAGTGGAGATCAGTGAACCAACCCCAAGAATCGAAACATCCGTGCACTACACAGGTAGATAGCGCACTAGGCCGCCCAGCTTAATGGAGTATATTTTTTTCTTAAACAATGTATTTTTTTCTATTTCATGTGTAATTTATTAAATTTTCTGGTTTGTGGTTTTCTTTTAATGTTTTTTTTTTAATTACCTTGTTATTATTATCATTGCTGCTTTTGTCCGTCTATCCGTCATCTCTCGTTGCGAGAAAATGGCGGCGCCCGTATGATTTTGTTTCTGTGGTCGCACTTCTCAATGTTCGATTTTATCGTTGTTTTTATGTAAATACTCGATTTACCATGCATTCAAACGAAAATGCTGCGGGCGACTTGCGAGTAAGAACGTACGTGCCCATCGTTCCGGTGAAGCTACCTACAAGTACGAGCATATTGTCCTGAACACTGCCTGCACAGTACGAGCGCGCTTGCTTGGCAGGAACGCCGAGAACTCGGCGCCTGTAGCTTCTCCAAGAACGGGATTTTGACCGCTGCCATTTTCAGCGTTCGTGAGTATGGCGCGTTCTTTACCCGCTTTCTGGAACAAGTAACATGCGCCTGTTGGGCTGTGATTCTGTGAATATTAGAACGGTCGCGGGGCGTCTTCAAATGCCCGCTTTCCAGCGAGCGCTCGTTGCCTTCGTTAACTGCGGAGGGCAGGAAGGAGTTTCAGTCCTTCCTCCAGCGCGAGCTTCCTGCCTTCGAAAACGCTCCGGAAGTTTCGTGAGCTTCGAGCATGCACGCGCAGCACTGACAAGATCAAAAGGGCCGGGCGTCTCTTTGGAGCGCCCAGCGCTCGAAAGATGCGATCGTTGCCTTTCTTCGTGTGTTGGTTGTACGCAAAGGAGCATTATCGAAGCTAGGAAACTCACGCTAGAGGCGCGACAGCTGAAAATTTGAACTATACTATACGCACTATGTAGTGCACCGCGTATAGCCATTTTCGGGGGGGGGGGGGGGAGGAGGAGGAGGAGGAGGAGGAGGAGGAGGAGGAGGAGGGAGGAGGGAGGGGGGGAGGGGAGGAGAGGAAAGGAAGGAAGGAAGAAGGAGGAGGGGAGAGAGAGAGAGTGGAGGAGGGCCCAAGGCATTGCTTAAAAAGACACTAAAAGAAAAAAGTTTCCTTTTGAAAAAACTGTCATTGCGAACCTTTTTTCTTCTTTTTCCCCCACAAAATAGAATTTTTTTTTGTGCATTATTAATGTTGGATTCAATTTACGTGGAGGTCCCGGCCCGCTCTAAGCCCTGCCCATTTCTACTGGATTGGCTTGGCTGCTCGGTCAAACATGCTCGGACGCCTGGTGTCTCCCCTTCGTGACACCCAGTGTGTCTAGTCTGGCATCGTGCAAGTCGTGCGAGCAGATGCGCATGCAGCAGCCTCTGGCATTGTCTGCTGTTCCACCACCGTCTATCGTTGTCTGCAATGCCCAGACGCGGACAATAAAGCTGCGCGTTGGCGTCCGTTTTCGGCTTCATCCGTCTGCCAGTCAGCACCCGTTTAAAAACTTCTTCAACGCTCGCAAGACGCGATTATGAAAGTGGCGTTCTAGCGTTCCATCATGCACAAGCCACGGTCCAATACGATCATCTGTCAGCGTCTGTCGATGCGCGGTAAAAAAACGAACGAGAGGACTAAAAAAATGTCAGCAAAATAAATATGCAGTTTTTCCAGATTTTTTGTTCTTGTTACATTTCCGCGTGGCATCCGCGAGCAAAGTGGGCGAGTTTCATGACTCAGAATTAAAATGCGACCTAAAAATATTCCCTTTGGGAGGCCAGGTACAGTACAAAACTGGAGCTACTTGCCTTTCGGATTGAATTGACGGGAGCAAATCTCTCCAAACTTGATGCGAACTGAACGCCCGATTGCCTCCAGGCAAATGGTTTGCACACTCCTTCCTGTGTAGGTATCTTCTCTATATTGAAACCATTGTTACAATCACCACGGTTGCACAATTCACAGAGCAGCAGTGCCGCTTTTACGGGAACCAACATCTCCATTCAGCATCAGCACGTGCAAACAAACAAATCGTGCTAGATCGAGCAACATAGTTTACGTGGGATGCTAGGCTTAGGCCAGTCACACTACAAAAACAAGCACCTGCACAGTGCTTCCATAGGCGCATACTTGCGACAGTTGTTTGTTGCAAACTACGTCGGTTGGGGGGGTCTTCCTCTAAACACCTCCGTGAACTCCAAACTACTCGCACTCATAAAAAGTAGACAAGCTCGACGTGCAGCGTGCGTTGAGCACTCCGCTGATGCCGGCAGCCATGTTCGTTATTGTTTCACACTAATGAGAAAAGGCAATCTTTGGATACTTTTGAAGATAATAATGACTCTACCTAGATTATTTGTGTCTCAAACATTAAAATAATGTGGATAAAAATACAATATGGCATGGAGAAACAATTCTACAACAAACAATCCACATGTCAATCATCTCTCCATCCAATGAGATCAGAAAGACCAGCAGAGCTGTACTATGGTGGGAATGAAGTAATGGCTGGCCGCAAGCCCTCAAGCTAGAGTGAAAAAAAAGGCTGGCAAGGTTGCCACCATCTATGAGCAACGGCGGCAACCAGACAACCGGCTTGCCAGCTTGCCGGTTGTCTGGTCACCAAAAAAATTAATTTTACGCAAAAAAAACAACAAAGTTTTAAAGCAACATTGATGGCGCAAGATTTATTTTAGTTTTTGCACGCAAAGTTTGTGACGTCACGGAATGGTCATACACTCTTTCCACCGCATCGAGATGGTCATACGCTCTCTCCACCTCAGCGTGACGGCTAAGCCGATCCACCTCCTCCTCAACGCGCCCGAATTGCCGAGAGAGAAAACAAGTGGAAAGGAGGTGACTACCGACTTAACCGCTTCTCGCACCGTCAAAATTGCTATAAAAAATATATTTTTTCGTGTATAATTAATTTTTTGACACGCGTGTCCCAACCCGGCTGTTTAAAAAGAACATTTTTCTTTCTTTTCAGAAACCCTTTAAATACTGCTTTTTTTTTTTTTTTTTTTTGTGGAAAAATTTGCAAGAAAATATGTGTCCCATTTAGGCTCTTTAAAAAAAAACAAAAGAACATTTCTTTCATTTCAGTATCTCTTTTGGGCTCGGGTAAGAACGCCGCAATGAATCCTGCGCTGGCTTTACTAAGTGCGTAATCAAATCTGGAAGCTGCTAAAAGTTAGCGCACGGTCCACTCAGGTGTATTCACCCAATCCTTGCCCTCCCCCTGCCCCCCTCCTCTCTCCTTGTAAACCAGGCAAGACGCAGAATGTTTTGCGTTGTGCATATAGCCATTTCCGGTCACCATGCACTACGTAGTGCATGTAGCATTAGCACTCTTTATTTAAAACATGGACATTTTGCCGGCAGTTTCTCTTGTTGGCTGGTGACAATCACGTAACTACTGCCGACAGGATAGATCTAAAAAAAATGGAAAAAAGAAAAAAAGAATGCGAACGGCTTTATACAGCTGTTTCACGACCTAAACCCTAGACATTGTGTGTGCATATACCTTAAACAACTTAGCTGTTTTCTTCCTTTTTTTTTCTTTTTTTACGAGGCTTTGTAGATGTAGAGTTTAAATTGATTACAACAGACCTTGATGGTGACCAAGATTTCAGTCTGTTGTAAAAGGAGTATGCTGTATGCAGATATGAAGTTGAACCAATGGTATCGATAGGAAAACTAACCAAACTTCAGAAAGTGGTATGTTACATCCAAGTGTCTGTTGTAACGAGTTTATATAGTGCACCAAATTTGTTCGTAGGCCCTAAAAGCGGCGCATGTGGCACTCACTGGCACTCTGCAGGAACTAAGCGAGCGTAAACGCTGGAGACGTCGGCTCTGAAAGCAAAAGCAAATCTAAGAACACCTAAAGCCTGCAATGTTTGACGGTGAGGCAACATAAACTAAGCTCTCTCCCCCTCCCCCTTCTCTTTTGCCCTGTAGACCAGGCAAGGCAGCAGCATATGCAAGAGAGTGCCGGCGTGCGCGATTGCAGTGACAACACTTTTGTGACAGTGCGATCAAAGGTACAGAGTGCATGCGCTCGTTGTCGATTAAAGATGTGCTCACACACTCCTCGCTTCCGAAATGCCAGTGTACGGCAGCTAGATGTCTTGTACGTAGCCAGCCAATGAGAAGACACTGCCGGCAATTTTTTTTTTCCGCGCTTCTATATTGGCTTTTGGCAATATATCCACCACCCTTTATTTAATTATCGTCAACATTCATTACAAAAAAGAAAACAAGGTGTTCATCAGTCTTCCTAGTTACTGTTTTTATTTAGGTAAAAGAAGAAAATCCGAAAAGTTTTCCCACTGCGGACAAGTGGTCCCTGATTTGCTCTGATGACACGTGCAGTTGATGCAGTGTTGCTAAGTTAGCCACTAATTCACCTTCTTTCTATGTGCGGATGTCAAATTGCACTCTTTCAAAGGTTATGTTGCGTCTTGGAAAAAAAGAGTAGGCTTTGTAGCGAGCCATCATGACTTCAGACTGTTTGGTGTTCTCGAAACTTCACTTGAAAGTGTTGAAGAAGTCTCCTGCTTGTGTTCCCAAGCCTGTCGACTTGCACTTGAAGGGATTAAAGGGACACTGACAGGGTGATTATGCTTGCCAAGGTTTTTATTTGTACATGACATATAAGAGCCCAACTACCCAGAACACAATTTGCGGCTCGAAATTCGTTTTGTTTGCGCCCGAAAACTGCCGATCGAGAACTGGCTGGTTTGAGTCGCTCTCACTCTCTTCTCTGTGGTCAGCCGCCAAAGATAACCAAAGTGATGGGTGATCGAAGGCACACACTTAATATTAAAAATGGAAAAGATATGATACCTATTTTTTGTGGCTTCTAAAAAACTGCAATACATTGATTGAAAAAAAAAAAAAAAAAAGTTGCACAGCCGTGGGACTTTTGGCAACACACTCTTCCTCTATATTTCCTCTTCTTCCCCAGTCCAGTTTCGGTTTCGAGCAGTTGCGTTTTTTTACTTTATGAAAAATGGCCGTAGCAAAATATTGATTGGGTGGTCTTCTGACACCATAATAAATTTCCTAGCAAAAAAATTTTAAAACAATTTCGGGGGTGTCAATGTCTTTTTAAAGCCCCTTGATAAAATTCACGTCTTTATTTCTTACAAGTACCGAGAGCCATTTTTGTGCCAGTGCTCAAGATAAATGCCACGAGCAATTTCTTGGCCAACGTTTGCTTCTAAGGACCACTCATTTCTGTGCTGCACGGCCATTTGCTTTTAAGGACCATTCGAAGCACGGGCCTCGTGCATTTGTGCATTGGACGCTACTTGCAAGGCAAACACAAACACGTCAAAGGGCTTTGGTGGCTCACAGATTGGAGCACATTAAGCAAAAGCTCGCACTGCAGAACCCAGGAATCCTGGGTTTTAACCCCACCCGTGTTCATTTTGATTTTGGTGAGTGCATCGTACCAGCGTATGTCTGTGTAATCACAGCTGCATGGGGCGCAATAAATGATTCCTAGCTAGCTATCGTACCGTACCGGCTAAAGTTCTCATCTACAGCAGAATTGCGTACTAGACGCCCATTGGCGCTGGATAACTTCCCACTGTCTAAACATACGCACGATGCAATGACTTTTTACTTGCACCTCAGCTGGCTTTTACATGCGATCCGGAGAATGTGTGATACCGAAGAAAATGTTTCTTTGTGTGGGCCATTCGTCTAGAATGGTGAACGCAATGGCTAGAGCGGAGCATTCAAAACATACTCATTGCATTCGCGATGTTTGATTGTGCACCTTGACCGTGAGAGGAAGAAGTCAACGACTCATGGAAAATAACGAGAAGTAAACTACTACCATACACGGACGACCATGTCTCATCACTTTGCAGCTGCATTCCTCTGAATCTGAACTACAGTGTGCTTTGAATTTATGCCTGCAAAGCCTGACAGAGAGCGAGATCACGACTCATGCTTTTGTTACATACAAAGACTGATTATATTCCCATTTCTTACTTCCTAGGCATTTTGGGGGCACCTACCATAGATCCGTCAGACATTAAGAATCTCTGCCCAGACATCATCTACCATTTGATGCGTTCCTTTCCCATCAAGTGTTATTGAATTAGCCAGGTTGAGTAATTTATACCATGATTTATTCTTTAACGTTTTCTGATTTTGGTACGTCTTGCCTTGACAGGAACCAGAAGCGATGATGTGCTCCGTTCTCCAGTTCAGAATGGACGTGGCTGGAAGCGAGTTACCCATTGAGCTCATCATGCCCACCGAACATCGTAAGTTGGTCGTCACTAAACTCGAGTAATGGTCACTTTTAAATCCAGCACCCTCTGCTTCTTCATTTGTTACAGCGTAGCTGTTAAGGGCTAGTTTCCCCAGGATTGTGTGCGGTACGAAACGATTATCGACACCCATGACCGACACAACACTCTGGTTGCCACCGTCGCTCATAGATGGCGGTAGCTGTTTAGAGTCTTATGTTTGCCGGTTGTCTGCTTGCCGCCGTCGCTCATAAATGGCGGCAACATTTCTTCGGAAGAAGAGCAGGAATGGAACGAGCGACGATGTGCGCAGCAGCGCGAATGGTTTCGCAACTGCCGCGAGGTTACTGTCGCCTAAAGTTACACTGCGTCGAGCGCTTCAGATTCCCTTGCGAAAGAAGAGCAGATTGCTCGCCTGGAAAGCCACCGCTGAGAACAGAGGCTACAGCTCCACTGCTCTCCCTTCTTTACCAGAGTGGAAAGGCCGAAAGTTTTTCTGTCCCTCTCCTACGCTTTGATCTTTGTCGCACGAAACTCTGTTAGGTTGCACATGCGCCGCATGGTACTCTGCGAGATTGATTGAGGAACCTTTGCATTCTGTGCTTTGGGCTTCCCTGGTAACCTACAGTACATCGTTTTGAGCTGGGCAAGCTCGTCCCACAAAGGTCTCCACTTTTTTTACTTTAGCAGAGCAAACACTAGAGAGGAAAAAAGTGGAGAGGAGGAGACCCCCCAATCACAACAACCAGAGAGCTTTGTGAGAGGGGCTTAATTGTCCTGCTGTTCTTGTCCCCTACCGCGCGCGTCGCGCGCTACCGGGTTATCCATACTGCATGTTTTTTTCCTAAAGTAGGGCCACACTATACTCCGCGACAACTTTTCTTGGCAATGCAGTGGAAGGTACAGGACCGCGTCCCATCTCCCATTTTGAGTGTACGCGGGCTCTCCTCCTCCCTCATTTCCTGGGAGAGGAGGAGAGCCCGCGCACACTCAAAATGGGAGAGGGGACGCGGGCCTGTACCTTCCATTGCATTGCCAAGAAAAGTTGTCGCCGAGTATAGGCGTGACTGTTTTGCTTGTATAATAAGGTTTTACAGTATAAAACTCGGTGTAGAAAACAAGAAAACATGTTTATTTACATGCTTAAGTGGTTCGTTCAGGTCTTTAAATCAATAGGCCCTCACAGATTCTTCCTCAGATGAAAGATCTCGAAACACTCCATCCTCGGTCGCTTAGGCATCGCACAACCTGTGTGCGCTTGTCGTGATTTGGACTCGGAACTGCTGTCGGAATCGCTCCCGTCGTCGATGCTCCGAAAAATCACTATCCTCACCAGATGTCCCGTCATCATCACTGTCGAAGAGGATATCTATAATTTCATCGTCAGAAAGGCCACACCGCACACTGTACCCTACCATCTTCTCCAAGCAGGCAGCGATTGAGCAAGAAGGGCAACACACAAAGCACAAGCTCAAACAAAGACAGCGAACAGACAACCCCCGCCATCTGTTGGCAATGTATCTAACTACACTACCCCAAGTCTACATAGCGCGCCATCTATGAATGACCCTTTAAAACAGAAATTCATGCAGACTGGCGAATCGCCGGCTTTGGCAATATGACCCCTGACGGCACGCCCGGGATTCGCCGGCTTTGGCAGGGAATGGGTTAACCTGCAACAGACTTCAGTATTCATTTGTTTACACCGAGAGACCATTTCAACCATACCTCACAGTGATCCATCCTGTCATTCCATTTACCAAATAACTAAGTTGTGCCGAGCACGTTGTAACTACATGGAGAAGCTGTGTTTTAAATTTTAAATGTGTCCAATTACCCAGATGAATTGAAAGTAAAAATCATTATATTCCCATGCACAAAAGTTGCCTCTGTTAAAAATTAGAAAAAACAGCATCACTATGAACTGTTGTGGCAAATGCTCCGGCATATCGATCGCAATGCAGCAAAACGAGACTGAATTCGCTGCCTGCAGTTCTCGTCTGCTAACAAAGTGTGTTAAACTGGTGCAACAGCCGGCAGATGTAAGCAGTCTTGTACACGTTACTAAAAAAAAGTAATCGATTACAATTACTATTACTCTTGGCTAAAAAATATTCGATTAGATTACTTGATTACTCGACGGCAACAGTAATTGGACATTACTTAAGGAAGTAATCGTTACTTTTCCGATTACTTTATTGTGTGAAGACACATCTTTAGCGCTCATAACAATGAACTACTTCCAACCTATATTTCACATTTGCACAAGTGTTGAAGAAGAAAAACTGGCTCCCTCTTCGTGGTCGTTGCACCTTCACAATGCGGACACAAGCATAGAATTCGTTTGAAGACGTTTGATGATTTGGGCGTTCGCCAGTATGTGTGTGTGTGTGTGTGTGGGGGGGGGGGGGGGGGAGGGGAGGGGAGGGGAGGGGAGGGGAGGGGAGGGGAGGGGAGGGGAGGGGAGGGGAGGGGAGGGGAGGGGAGGGGAGGGGAGAAGAGGGGGGGGGAGGGGAGGGGAGGGGAGGGGAGGAGCGGAGGGGGTTCTAGGTCTTGTTAAGCTTGAGCAAGTGTTGTCGCTCAAAGTTTGCGTCGCTCATTTTATTATTCACATGTGGATGAGCTCGCATGTTATACAAAGAGCAGCAGCTCCAGGATTTGAAGTGGATCATGTGTAGTATCATTAGCGGAAGAGATCGCCCCGACCACTTCTCACCTCGAAACATTGCTTGTCACAAAGACCACGTAGGAGAAATGGAGAAATATTTCAACTGTCTTTGTTATATTTTGCATCCGCTAATTTAGGCATTCTTCGATTCTGGTTCTCCTACGGGCCGCGAGTAGGTACCCTCAGCAGGATTTTTTATTTATTTTTCTATTTCTGTGTGTGTGCGTGAGGGGGCTAGTTTGAACGAAGGACTCACAAAGCTACATTCTGCTTCCTCAAACTTTGCCCTGAATGGCCTTTGTCACTCACTGGTGCTTCCCACTCCCAGTCCCAGCTCAAAAAAAAAAAAAAAAAAAAAAAAAAAAAAAACGGATATTCCACAGAAACTGTACATAGAAAGAGATTGACCTCGTTTCCTACAGCTCCGCAAAAATCTTTCGTCTTTCCGTTCAAAAAAAAAAAAAAAAAGCAAATTTTATTTTTGTTGTTTTATAAAAAAAAGGTGTGTGCCAAGGGGGGGGGGGGGGGGGTGGCCGTGGACAAATTGTAACGGTTACAAGTAATTTTATTACTTCAAAAAGTAATCAGATTACTCTTCTGATTACTGCCTAATAAAAGTAATCAACTGATTACAAAATTACTCCAAAAAGTAATCGATTACAAGTAATTTGATTACTTGTAATGCGTATGGTACAAGTCTGGATGTAAGTAGGCAAGAACAAGGGCACAGACACTGATCTCTGATGGCACACAATGTTTTGGAGGCAAATGCGGTGCTGGGTTTCTTTGTGTAGTTCATGATTTTGTTTTACTTTTACTAACAAAATGCTGAATGGGCACTAAACCCACAAGAAAGATATTTTGTATGGCTGTTTGAGCCATACGCATCAAGAGTGGCTGCCATCTCTTGGCCGTTGCGTCGCCATGCATCTTACATTTGCAGACAGCCATTCGAGTGTACACTCAAACGGCCGTCAAAAGATTTTTATAGCTCACTAAAATTTTATAGCGCCCACTAAAAATTTGAAGATAATCGCGAAAAAATAGGAGATGGGTGCATATGAGGTCATCAGTTTTACATATATATGTACTGTGCATATTTTTTCAGATGTTTCAAATTTTGGGGTGGGCACTTAGTGCGGAATGGGCAGATGCGTGGTATTCTACGGTAGGTAAGCTCATTAGTTAAAATTTTGATGTATGAATCGCGCCCTGTCCTGTTTGGCCACCTCTTTACAAAGTCTTAGCTGGTTGTGTTAAACCGATTTATCTGGTCCCTTCAAAGGTCCAACGATCCATTTGACTCAGGTGGTAGTTTATGCTGTTTGCTCAGTTTACCCACAATTAAAATCTTTATGCATCATGAATTGCTTCTATGTTGCCTGCTTACAACTAGGGATGTCACGAACCTGTCAAGGCTCAAGTCTGACAAAGTTTGACTCTTTTAAACTTCCATAGTGTTCAACAAAAGTTCAACCGAAGCTGTTCTTTTCTGCGCAAGCACAAAATTTTTAAATTGAGCTGACACTACCTGGTGGAGGAAAAGTGGAATATTTGTTGGGTGTATTACATCACTGGTTCACATAACTGACTGACGAAAGCATTAGAAGTACCTAATTTTGCTTTTACATCGTTTAAACATTGGCATTTGTTTTATAAAATATGAATTACGATAATTTATAAATTATTTGTTTCCCAAACTTCTAAATTATTGTGAAGAAGAAGCACTGTTCATAAGTTGAACTTTGTCTAACTTTACGAAAAAGTTTGAAGGTTCGACAAAAGTTTGTTACGTACCTACTTACAACAATGCTGGTCAGTAGATCTTCACGTCGTGACGCGCATGGGAATGCCTCCTTTTCAGGCAACGGACAAGCGATTCAAGGGAACATCGAGTGCCCAGTGATCTCCGGAGAGGACAAGTTTGGGTGCTGCTTCTGCAACTTCGTCACCGGAGACCCGCGTAAACAGGTCGATCACCTGGTGGGCCTCGCTTGCCGACCTTTCGAGTGCCCACTCTGCCTCAGGTCCTTCCTCGACAGGTGCACCCTCACGCGACACGAGAGGATGCACGCAGAAGGAACACCTTTCAAGTGTCCGCTTTGTCCCGCAGCGTTTCGTTCGAACCACAACCTGGCAATTCACGCGCGATATCACTCCGTCGATAAACCGTACAAGTGCCCACACTGTTCCGAGGCCTTCAAGCAGCACGAGGACCTGAGCAGGCACCTGCGAACTCACACGGTAGAGAGGCCTCACAAGTGCGACCAGTGCCTCGCATCGTTTGGATCGCGCTGCCAGCTGAAAGCCCACATCCGTACCCACACTGGCGAAAAACCTTACAGATGCACAATCTGTCCAAAGGCATTTGCCCAGTACACCTCTCTCGCGAGACACTTGCGGTCGCATTCAGGCGAAAAACCTTACAAGTGCGTCCACTGCTCCAAGGCTTACAGGGACCACAATGGCTTGAAACAACACCAACTAACTCACACTGGAGAGAGGCCTTACAGGTGCGACCAATGTCCTGCGGCCTTGACCACTCGGTACCACCTGAATGCCCACATTCGTACTCACACTGGCGAAAAGCCTTACAAGTGCACGGTTTGTCCGAAGGCATTCGGCCAAAGCTCAGCCCTCAACGCCCACTTGCGGATGCACTCGAACGAAAAACCTTACAAGTGCCCGCACTGTTCCAAGGCCTTCAAGCACCTCAGTAGCCTGCGCCATCACCTGCAAACTCACGTGGGAAAAGAGCCCTACAGATGCGAGCAGTGTCCCAAGGCTTTTAGTTTGAGAAAGGATCTCTCTAGGCACGAGCAGTTGCACGAGGAAGGTCGTGTCAGCTCTGGCGGTATCGCTCCGACGGAGCAACCGACCCGGACTGACTCAGATGGACCGAAGCAGTGCATCGTTTTGAATCTGATTGCTCAGTAGCACCATATTCTGTGGGGAAAATAAATTATCATAATCTAATCCCTGAGGCATGGAGAAATAAAATAAGAAACAAGATTATATCTGAGCATATTTTTTATATTTTTCATTTCATATTGGAGGTCGACACCATCACTGTTTGGAGCCGATCATGTTGAGGTTGGTTTGCAAAAGCATCTGTCCTTAAGTTGAAGCTTCTCACATTTTCTAAGCTTGGCAAAGCTTCAATAGGTATGTGGCCAAACTCCGACTTAAATTTTGTCTTTGTTTTTGTGTGGGTTATCAGAAAATATTGAAAGAAAAACGAGCTTTAACCAAAGGTTAGAAAAGAAACAATTTTTTCATAGTCTCACATCACGTCAAAGTGAGATTCTATGGGTTGTTGGGAGGCTTTTAATAGGAGACGAACAGGAGAAAATCATTCAGACTTAGCTCTCATCTTTTGCTTTGTCTAATCAAATATTGAATAGCCTACAAAATCATTGTTATGTGTTTTTTTTTTTCACTTTAACAGGAAGTTGTCTATGGAAAAAAGTTGGGACATCTGAAATTTGATGGTTTTTTGAAAATATATTAAAAACTTTTTTTTTTCAATATTTTTGGATAAGAAATGCATTCTGTGCTACTGACAGCACATTCTTTTTATATCCATATCAGGTGTCTTGGATCTATTCGGCTCGCACAATGCACCTTCACAAGAATTGACTGCGACTACCAAAAATTTTATTCGCAATGTTCACAACACTAAAAAAGGCCGCATAGGTGACAAGAAAAAAAAAAGTGCTTATTTTTCTGCATGGCAAGAAAGGCTAGCATGAATAAAAACAGTGTTAATGATCGCACTTTAATGAGAATTCTAAGACAGCTGACGAATGTGTCCACTTATCCATGTGTAAGTACGCAGAATGCTGGATAAATGAAAGGATATGGCTGAACTGTCTGAATCTAAGGTCAATATTTGAATATGCTGACGTCTTGCGCTACCTAGCCCTGGCACCTCGACAGCGCAAGAAGCAACATGTTAGAGGAATGAGCAGATTCAAATATTTGCCAGCAGTACTGATATTTGATGCATCGAATTACTCGGAAAACCAAATACCGAGGTCGAATTGAATTATTCAGACAGTCATTAATCTATTCGAATGCGAATACTCACACACCCCCAGTACAAAGGTATGGATATGTCGTTGTAAAAGGTTATTCTGGTCCCTAATCACCCTCCTAATCTGGGTGTGTGGTACAACCACACACCCAGATTAGGAGGGTGATTGGAAGGAACAGAGGCTAAAGAAGGAACAAGTTGTACAGTAGCTGTAGCTGAAGATATGTGCAGATGACAAGGCCACAGGGGCCTGTGCATTCGGGACGTTGCTGCAAAGCTAAGTTGTAAGCTTATTTACTTTCTGCAGGCCAGAAAGGGGGCACTTGAGTGTACGCTAGAACGTAGTTCACAGTGTCACAACTCTATGTTTATCCTGGAAGGAGTGCCAAAAGACTAGGGAGTTTTAGGGAACCGTTTTCGCACGTACGATACGGTACGATATGGGACCTCCGGTACGAACTGCACCACATATGCGCAGTTTGGACCGGAGGGCCCATCTTACCGTATCTAATGTAAAAAAAAAAAAAAAAAAAAAAAAAAACGATTTTTTTAAAACTTTACTGACTGCCTGACAAACGTATGGGACCGGTCACCGGGACCGGTCACCGGTACGGTATGCATGTTTGACCACTTGGCGCTAAAACCACTAAAACACAATCGGCTGATGGCGCTACTAGCAGCCTAACTCAAAATGCTTAGATCATTTAGTTTCTCCAGAGCCGTACATGTAGAGAGTTTGGCCATTCGTTGGGAAGTATAGAAGACAAATGAAGCGGCGCCATTGGCCGAAAGCGGGCTGGGCGTGTTCCAGGGCGTCTTCAGAAATTCGAATGTGACCCAGAAGCCGGAAATAATACCCTGGCGGTGGTCGCGAGAAACAAACCTGATAACTGCATTGGAGTAACTCTCGATGGCTGAAAATATGGTACACGTGATGTTTCAATCACACTCATCTAAAATGATGGTGGAAGAGTGCGAGTAGCGGAAAGATCGACATAATCCTTACGCCAAACGCCGAGCGCCGGGAATCTGCCGTCAGAGCGGTCACACTCTGTCCGCGCAAAACAGAGTTGAGCGGCGCATTCGTTTCTTACATCTTTCTGCATGATCATGATGAGACAACACGTGAACCCTATTTTCAACCACAAAGAGTTACTACACTTCACTCTTACGCACTTATTAAAAGCATATACGAACATAGACCTTCGATTATCAATCGGCTCAGAATTGTTTCTCGCTACCACCGCTAGGGGATTCTTTTCGGCTTCTGGTTGGTCAAGAGAGCATGCCAACCCCTCTTTCCGAGTCTGGTGCACGCCCTGGCTTTGCCCGCACCTCCCATTGACCAAACTCTCTACATATACGGCTCTGAGTTTCTCCAGAAGCTCCAAGTTCCTTCACCAAGTGCAGCGTTTGTATTTTTTTTATTAATATTTAACATACTTTTTTAAGTTGTATTAATCGTTGATCATTTGTAATTTATTTGTTTTATATTTGTTGTTAATTTTATCTATCTATCCGTCGTGACTATCTCGACTCTTGTGAAAATGGCAGCGCCCGTATGTTTTGAGCTCGGTGAGCTAAGCGTCCTTGGCAGCGCATTAAACTGAAAATGTTGCAGGCGTGTTATGAGTAAGAACAAGAACTTAGCTGCCTATCGTTCCGGCTAGTCCCGGCCGGTACGAGCATGTTGCCCTGAACTGCCCTGACGCCAACACCCTGCTTGCTGGTCGAGCCCGGAGTCTTGTAGCTCCTCCAGAAACGGGATTTTGACCGGCGCTATTTCGAGCATTCGTGAGTATGAACCGTGCTTTATTCGTTTTCAGAAGCGACGAACGTGCGCATGCTGAACTGTGGAGGTCGGTCGCAGGGTGTCTCCTTCGAATGCCCGGCTTCCTGCGCGCTGTTTCTTCTGGTGCTCTCGCTGGAAGTGGAGCAACTGCAGAACTTCCTAGGTAGGACCAGAACGGCAGGGAGATACTTTAGTTGTACCGCTTCCAGCGCGAGCGTCCTAGCTTCGATAACACTTTGTCGTCTCTTAAGCTTAGAGCCGCAGACGATGAACGCGCGCGTGCTGGAGTATGTACGAGCACTGGAAAAAGACGCCCCGCCGTTTTCATCCTGTCAGTTACATGCTGGAGGCCCGGCATTTGGAAGACGCGCAGTGTTGTTCTCACTCTGCCAGTGGCTATGCGGAGAGCAAGTCGTCTGATTCTTTTGCAGGGGTTGTGGTGACGTTATAAAGACGCTGAGCCCTGATTGGCTCTGATTGAAGGATAGTGGGTAGACCTCAAAGCAAGCTACCTTGAGGTCCACCCAGTATCCTTCATCCAGAACCAATCGGAGCTCGGCGTTCTGATGTCACCACAACCCCTGCAAAAGAAGCAGACGAACTTACACTCTGCATAGCAACAAGCAAACAGTCTGACCTTCTTTGATACGCTGTCGCAAGTGACGGCCAACGTGGTCGATGAAGTTGCGGAGACTTACGCCGATTCACCTTCTCCCTGTGTCCGGGTATTGAATCGTGCTCTTTCAAAGGTTACATTGTGCCTTGGAAAGAAGTAGACTTTGCAATTAGCCAACGTGACTTTGATCTTCTTGGAGTTGCCAGGACTTGAAAGTACTGAAGATGTCTTCCACCCGTGTTCCCATTGATTAAACCAGCGTGTCGACTTGCTTTGCTTTGGATTCTGCGTGTGATATGGAGGATATGGTGCAAGGCTGAAGAAGAGGTTTCTGCCATGTGTGCGATAGCTTGAGTGGAAGTATCTGGAACAAAGCAGTTGTACACCCGATGTTCGTTTGCATACTTCGAGGTTGGCTGGCAAATTACCATGGCAGCTGCTTTTGCAGTTATTTCAACTTCGAAAAGGAGTGTCAATGAATTAAACCTGCTGTTATCCTACTTCTGATACCATTTGACGTGGGAAATGTACTCAGTAAGGAGTCGGGCACACAAAAACTGCTTTTACGACACAGTATTATCTTGCACAAAGACAGCCGTGTCTCATCGCTTTGTGACTGAGCTCTTCTGAATCGAAACTAAGTATATTATGAACCTACGTTGGAAAAACCTGACAGAGTGCATAATCGGTACTTGCGTTTTTGTTAAATAAGCGATTCCTTTGTATTCAAAGAAATTGCTGTGTTTAGGAAGCACTGAAGTATAAATTTGACTTTCAATGAACCATTTAAATGTGAGCTTGGTCTTTCAAGGAGTCAAGGGAATGTCTGCTTATATGCCCATCTATTACTTTCTAGGAATTTTGGGCATCTGCCAAAGTGCCATCAGGCATTAAAACTCGCTGTCAAAATATTGTACAGCATGCTTGACCCGTTTCTTGCTATATATAAAAATTTTATAATTGGCTTGTAATCAGCCATGTTTATAATAATTTATAATATGATTCAATTTCGAACAATGGGAGGAGGTATTTTCTATTTTCATACATCTTACTCTCACAGATGTCAGAAGCAACAGTGTGCTTTGTTCTCCATTTCAGAATTGGCATGGCTGAGAGCATGTTATTCGTGCAGCTCATCGTGCCCACTGAACATTGTAAGTCGGTCATCTCTAAACTCGATTCGCTTTGTGTTGCGGTGCTTCCCGCTGGTCCATATTCTCTTTCTCTATGCTTTGCTCATTGCTGTGGCAAAATTTATCAGGTTTGTGCACTGTAATTTACTGAGTGTTTGCCCATGTCACAATAAGCACATAACGCCTGCTTCTGAAACATTTAAAAAATAGTTGAAGGACATATCAAACGTCCGCACCCCTATTTTAAGAGAGTTCAAAAATACACAAAAGACACATCAAGTGCCTAGTCACCATGAGCAGTCGTTATCTCCGCGACCAACGGACAGCACGGGTGAAGCGGCGAAGCAGGAGGAGGGGACGAGGGGTGCAGTGCTGAAAGTAGGTAGAAACGGATAGTGATAGACAAGGTGCTCTTTTGTACAAACTCTGAAACTTTTTTCGAAGGCTTTAGTGACGAAGACCAGAGGGTGTGTAATCACCCGTTTTTTAATTTTCTCAAAAACTATTCACTGCATTCACCCGCATAATAAAAGCACACCCGCCAACAGTCATCAATATTGTTGTTGCTTTTTTCCCGCATGGCCGCCAAGTCAATTAAGCCGCCAAGCGGCCAAGCCAAGCCAAATCAGGCGTGGCAGCATGCGCAGACGAGTTATGGCTGCAAGTGGGAAATTGTGGAGCGATCAACAATAACCGTGCGTCCTGCACAATCGACAGAACTGGGGTCAATCCCCTCGGAGATGTTTCATCCACCAGATATATCGATGTCAACAAACATTCTGTGGTCCGTTTTCAGGAAGCGAATTCATGAAAGTGGTTGGGCCTAGGAATGGTCGTGTCGCTTTGTGCCGAGTGCCACTTACGTAAAAACTGCGTAAGGCGCTTGGTCTTTAGCGAAAATAATGCCAACATCCTGTTTTACGCGGTTGTGCGCTCGGCCAGCTCTGCAGATGAGGGCTGTTCTGAATTCAGTGGCCAGACCAAGCAAGGGCCCACCCGATCGTGCGCTCCTGCATTTTCGCTTTCGGACCTAGCAAGTGCCCATCCCCTAGTTTTTCATGATTATCTGCCACTTTTGAGTGGGTGCTTGCTCGGTATTTTACAGTAGTGCTCTGTGTGAATGAACTGCCCTGTCTGGTCACTTACCGGTCACTTAGTGTACTCCATTCTACCTTGTGATGGACTGCAGTGGATGCTACAAGCCATCCCAGCAAATCTAGCTCTGTGAACATTTTACACGACTATGCGCCCCGAACGTCGCTGCGCATTGGATCGGCTCTGATGGCTCATAGCATCCGCTGCGGTCCATCATAAGGTGAAAGAAACAAAATGGTCTTCATTTGTTTATACTGGGAGACCGGTTCAACCATACTATTGTGCCGTCGACCAGTGAACCAAGTTCTTCATTTTCCACAATGGCAACTGTCATTTTCCACAATGGCACATGATAGAGAATCGACATTCTGGAATGTTGAGCCTGTGCATTTACCCAGATGAATTAGAAGTAAAAATCTCTAGCTAAAGTGCTTGCAACCTGACGAAGTCTTCTTGCGGTGAAGCCATCATGTGACTAAGATATCAGTTACACGTCGAAAGATCCCCCAGGTGGTCGAAATTAATTCTCAATCCTTCGCTGGGACGTGCCAGCTGCCCTTTGTTGGTTTGTCACATAAAACCCCCAAATTTAACTTTCTCGTCTAAAGTAAAAAGATTTTGATCATGCACAAAAACTGTATTTCGCAATATAAGAAAAACAAAATTGGTTTCGTGGATTGCGGTGGCACTCAGGGAAATTGGAAATAATGAAGGGCAACCAAGACTGATTGGTGTTCTCAATGTCTTATGTTTTTGTTTGTAGACTACAGAGACCCCAGAATGCTGTTTGTTTTAGTTTTATAAGGGAGTGCTAGCAGTACACCTGGCCATACCAAAGTAACTTATGTACATTCACCTGTATTTGGTGCTCGTGGATTACCTTGGAACTGTCATCCAGCATCTATTTATGTTATTGTAGAAAATAGTTGCCTACAAAGTCAACAAAAACTTCAGGGTCCAATGGGGAAACGAAACCGTGCTTTTGCACCTGTATAAATAAAGTATGCATCGTGGATAGCTCAAACTTAGTGCAAATGTATCAGTAGTGGTGGCCATAGAATGCAAAAGTTTAAGAACAGGGCATCAGCTGGGTCAAAAAATGAAACAGCGAAGTTAAATTTCTTTGATGCTACATCCACCTAGGCTTAATATTCGTCAAGCCAAGAAGTGTCATTGTGGGCATCTGTGGCATTTACTTCTGCGAAACATACTTCTCAGCAAGAGAAAGGCAATCAATCTTGTTTTTTCTTCTTCTTGGAAACAAGTTAGTAGTTTCGCTGAAGTAAATACCACAGGCATTTACACCACCATTTCTTGGCTCGACTACTAATTACCAGGGAGAGTCAGTTCATAAGGAAATGTTTTTTTGTGTGCGTTATCTTTTGATCCAAGTAACATCCTGTTCTGAAACGTCTGCATTCTGTCACCAATGCTAGTGTCACGTTCACACAAAGTTTCACCTTTCTGCTTTGTATAGTATTTGTGTGGGTAAAAGATAGGGCTTTATCTTCTCTGTCAGATCCTGTAGTCTATGCAGTTTGCTCAGGAAACCACACAAAAGCATCAGGCTGCATAAATTTCTATTACAATGTGTGCTTACAACAATGCCAGTCGGTACCAGTCCATGTCCTAATGCACATGGGAATACCTTCTTTTTAGATGATGGACAAGTGATTCAAGGGAGCACCGAGTTCCCAGTGACCACCGGGGAGGACAAGTTCAGGTGCTGCTTCTGTAGCCTAGCCACCGGAGATCCACGCGAACTGGTCAGACACCTGTCTGACCTCGCTTGCCGACCGTTTGAGTGCCAACACTGTCCCAAGTCCTTTTCCAACAAGCGCACCTTCACGCGACACCAGAGGACGCATGAAGAAGGAAGGCCTTTGAGGTGTCCGGTCTGTCCCGCTGCATTCCGTCTAAACCGCGACCTGGCAATTCATGCACGAACACACACCGGTGAAAAGCCACACAGGTGCACAATATGTCCAAAGGCATTCACTCAAAGCGCAAACCTTGCAACCCACTTGCGCATGCACTCGGGCGAAAAACCTTACAAATGCACAATATGTTCAAAAGTGTTTGCTCAGAGCTCGACCCTTGCGGACCACCTGCGGGTGCACACAGGAGAAAAGCCTTTCAACTGCCTCCACTGTTCCAAGGCCTTCAGGCAGCGGAAGAACCTGAGAGAGCATTTAAGAACTCATACGGGAGAGAGGCCTCACAAGTGCGACCGGTGCACCGCTTCGTTTGCCATGCGGGGCCACCTGAAAGCCCACGTCCGTACTCACACCGGTGAAAAACCTTTCGAGTGCACAATCTGTCTGAAGGCGTTTTCCCAATTCTCAACCCTTGCAAGACACTTGCGGATGCATACGGGGGAAAGGCCTTTCAAGTGCCTTCACTGTTCCAAGGCCTTCAAGCAGCATAAGGACTTGAGCGAGCATCTACGAAGTCACACGGGAGAAAGACCTCACAAATGTGACCAGTGTACTGCGTCGTTTGCTAGGCGGAACCACCTGATTGAACACGTCCGTACACACACGGGCGAAAAACCTTATAAATGCACAGTCTGTTCGAAGGCATTCGGCCAAAGCTCGGCCCTCAAAGTCCACTTGCGGATGCACACCGACGAAAAACCTTACATATGCTTGGATTGTTCCAAGTCCTTCAAGCACCTCAGTAGCCTGCACAAACACCTGCGAACTCACACACCTACAAACTCAGATTTGAAAGCGCCCGCCTAAATGTGCAACCGCAGGCACCGCAAGACATATTGCTATTTGGGATGTCTTAGGCAAGCTGTGAACTTTATATTCGCATGGTGTTTCGCTAACTGGGCCATTTCTTCACTAACTGGGCCTCAAACTTCGGGACGCACCCACATCTGTTACAGTCCACGGCCAGATTTTCCGAGAGTGACGTTGTCAGTAAGATCGTCACCCTCGGGAAATCTGGCAGTGCACTAGAACAGATGCGGGTGTGTCCTGAAGTTTGACAACACCATTATCTTAGCCACAAACCGAAACAAAACTACAAGAGAGATAACCAAAGCGTTTTTCAAGATGGAGTGTGTTGAAGGTACGTGTGTCAGCGCTCCATCGATAGCCCTGTTTGACTCTGAGGTGGCGTTTTTAAAATCTTTCGAAGAGTAAATGGTACATAGATAAGCATTGGTATGATGATGTTGCAGTTCCTTCATCACTTCTTCATTTCACGGTGTATATATATATGCTTTTTCCATGAGTAAACTTCAGTCGCAATCATACCCAACTCATGAGGGTCCTCACTCACCCTCATCTTCACAGGTGATGTGAGGGTGAGTGAGTTCTGAACCAGGAAAATTCATGAGTATGAGGGTGGGTGAGGGCCGTGAGGGCCGTGAGGACGGTGAGGGGTATTAGGGCCATGAGTGCATGAATGGCGTGAGGGTGGTGAGGGCGGTGAGGGGTATGAGGGCCATGAGTGCGTGAGGGGTGTGAGGGCGGTGAGAGGTGTGAGGGCCATGAGTGGCATGAGAGGCGTGAGGGCGGTGAGTGCATGAGGGGTGTGAGGGCCATGAGTGCGTGAGGGCAGTGAGTGCGTGAGGCCCCCTTCAGATCGAGCATCTTTCTCAGCAATTTTGGTGTTGATGGCGGGTTGTTTCTAGCTTTCCCTAGATCGACACGAATTGCTGAGATGGGGTCCGGCTCGAAATAATCAAGCAACTCGGAGCAATTCGAAGACGTTTGAAGCAGCTGCATCAAATCAGGGATGCAAAATTTTCACGTGATACCTCGTTCCGGAGATGATGACACCGAAAAACTTGGTTCTGGCTTGAAATCAATCGTTTTTGGAAATAAACTATTTCAGAAAGGTAAATTAGTATTCTCAACGAGATTTAAATGCATAAAAACACGTTTATAGCGCGTAATTGTGTCTAAATAGTGCAAGAAAAATAAAATTTCATGATGATGATGGGAAATTTCAGCAATTGGTTGCTGCGTGTGATCGCGGGCGGCCCGTGTTGCTGGTGTTGTGACGTCAAGTTTCTGGGCGAAATTCCCCCGTCTGAAGCTGACCTGAGTGGCGCGAGGGCCATGAGTGCGTGAGGGGCGTGAGGGCCGCGAGGGCGGTGAGTGGCGTGAGGGCTGTGAGGGCCGTCAGGGCGGTGAGGGGCGTGAGGGCCATGACTGAGTGAGGGCGGTGAGTGGCGTGAGGGCCATGAGTGCGTGAGGGCCGTGACGGCGGTGAGTGTGTGAGGGCCATGACGGCAGTGAGTGCGTGAGGGGCGTGAGCGCCATGAGTGTGTGAGGGCCCTGAGGTTCAGTGAGGGTGAGTGAAAGGCTGAAGGTGAGTGTGACTGTGAGCATGAGGGTGAGCGAGGGGCTGAAGGTGAGTGTAGCTGTGAGGGTAAGTGAGGGGCTTAGGTGAGTGTGGCTGTGAGGGTGAGTGAGGGCGACCTAAAATTCCGACCTCTGGTTGCAAGTAGTGCTCTATCGTCTTGGTCTCTTTCACTTCTCCTTTGTTTCTTAGTGCTTTTACCCTCTAAACTATGAATCATCAACTAGCCCAAGTGCATACCCTTCTACCATACCAAGACTTTGGTCGTTTTGAAGCATGAAATAATAATTATTATTAGTCCCCTGTATTATACCTGTGTAACTTTGTATGTTAAAATTCCTTTTGCTTACCACGTATACATTGTGCTTAGTGTCCTGTGCTGTATCAATTTCACACTGTTGGTATCAGTTTTATCATTAATTTTCTGCCCTGTCAGAACATGCCAAAGTTTTTATGCACTTTGATTTATGAACTTGGTGAGTTTTCTGGGTCCCAATTATTGTGCAATGTCATAATGAGCTATATATTAGATTTATATATAAATTAGACATATATATCCACCATTATTCTTGTTTCATGTTTACTCTAACTTTCAACTTTGTATGTAAGTGCTTATCTATATGGTTATTTATTGAGGTATTTTCTGGCCCTCGAGACAGCAACAGATTCCCGATCCAGCCCCTTAGCCAAAAAGTTTGGAGACCCCTGATAATTAAAAAAATTTCTGTACATTGACCCCTTCTTTATACCGTTCCTTTGGAAACAAAGCCCAACTACTGGAAAACAGCTTTTGGGAAGAAACTCTACCATCAAAGTTTTAACACGTGCACGGCCAAACTCTGACCTGAACGTTGTCAATGTTTGTGTGGGTCTAGCTTTACCTTTTCTCGAATGTTTTTGAGCAGTTGACGGATGCCTTGTTGCCTGGATTTGTTATCGGAAGATATTAAACGGAGAACCGGCTCGAGCTAAAGGTTACAGAAGAGATACATTTCTCTGTAGACTCGCATCAAGAAAACGTAAAATCTTGTTAGTCTGTTGAGAGATTTTCAATGAAAGCAGAAAATAAATATGGAAGAAAACAATTCCGACTTTGCTCCCATTTCCTGCTTTTCCCAGTCAGATGCCTCAATCATTACATCTTACTGATACATATAGCCCACACGGTGTGCCTGCTCGGGTATTGGTCAATGTTCATGCAGATGTTAATGAAACTTATTATTTATTGATTGAAACTTTCCAAAATTCAGCTTGGTCACTTCAATCGCCATCATCAACTAAGATCACAGTTGTATTAACGGTGGAACTATGCAGCCAAAGCAGATGACACAAGGCCAGAAAGTAAGATGTATATATGCGAGGACGCACAGAACAGCAAGTGCTGCGACGCCATCAATAAAAAAAAATTTTTGGCGCACGCCCAAAAGCTTTTACCAACAGCGTCTCCGCTGTCTGGACAGCGCAACCGAGAAAAAGTGTGGTCATTCTGATGACGCACTTTCTGCTTGGAGCATCTGCTCTGACATTGGCGGGCGCTGGCTCAAACACCGCACCGAAAATCCCACCGTTTCAACGCCTTCATAAAACTGTTATTGCCGCCATTGAGGCACAGAACAATTAAGGTTCTATGTAATATGGCGCACCCAGAAAGCGATTTTAAAAACAAGCATGTTGTAGTGTACGCGCCATCAACAAGCTAGATGGCAAGTTGCGTCTCTGCTCTGCGTCTCTGCGTCATCACGCTTCCCCCCACTACAGTTTTTTTTTTTTTTTTTTTTTTGTACTTTGTTCTATTTTAAATGCCAGCGTAGCAGAGGCTACAAGAGCGAGCTCCGAGCTTGCAGTGTCCCTTCCAAGCACGCGCGCTCGTGCAGTGCGAGCATCGTTCAGGGGAACATGTTTTTGCAAGTAGCTTCGGCTTCGCTATCATGTAAATTGAGGCATACGGGCTCACGGAAGCTATGAAAGAACGCAATGAAATAAAGGTGATTGGGACGCCGAGGCCGCGAGCTGCATAATTCTTTTTTATTTTAGTTTTTCTTGTTTTTTTTTTCAGACGAAATTTTGTTATCGCGCGTCTCAGATGCTGACAGATGCTTGCATTCGAACGTGGCACGTGCAAAAGTGAACGTTACAGCGCCGCCTGTACAGCGCTGCCAGCATAACATGATCTAAAGTCCCTTGATAAAAGCGTTTTTCACAAGTACCGCCAACCATTGTTGTGGAAGCGCTCGAGAAACGTGCCATGAGCGGGTGCTCCGCCGCCATTGCTTCCAAGGCCCGCTCATGTCAGTGCTGCGCCGCCATTTGCTTCCAAGGGCCGCTCGAGACATGGGCCTCGTGCACTCGCGCATTTGACGCTACTTGCAAGACAAGCGCAAACACATCGAGGGGCTTTAAACATGATCGCGTCTTGCGGACGCGCTCGCGTCCCCTGCTTGAGAGCAACGGGTCTATTGAAAATAGAACAGTCTTCACAAAAACTCCGAGCAGGGGCTCTAAACTCGTCAGACACAAAGTTGGGGCCGAAGTTCACGAAGCGCACCGATTGGACGATTATGACGATGACTTAGCGCTTTTGTCGCCAGCGTCCACTCGCTACACGGCGTCGGTTCTTGGTCGGTATCCAAGCGCGCGAAGGCACAGAGACACGGCACTTCGGCGTGCCAAGGAAGCTTTGAACACGCCGCCAGCCCTTCCTTTCCCGCGTTGTGCCTTTTTTCTGCGACACTGCACTTTCGTAAAATTTTCCACGTGTTCACAACGGCAAGTCTCAACAATACACAGAGTCTCAAAAAACTTCCTCGGCGAATGACGACGAACGAGTAGAAAACGTGTCTACAGCACGCTGGAAAACCGCAGCAAAAGGCTAGCAAAACGGGAAATCGTATCCCAGCGGGATTGCGTCCGGTGGCTTCACTTGCGGGAGCAGCAAGCGCGATCCAGCAATTGTCATTGAGATCAGTTAGTATGTATGATCTCTATGTTGAGATCAGTGGTACCCAACGTTACTAAAACACTCGCCGCCGAAACCTGGGCCGCTGGCGTCCACCGAGACCGAGCTAAATGCGACAACAGCGCCACTCTTTATCATTTGTCTGTACTGAGGTCGCCTCGAGCTTTTTGAAAGCCTGTTTTTGCGTAACAACAAACGGAAAAGACTCTTTTTGTATGAAATTTATTGGAGTTTAGTACCAAATGATGGGCGCGTGATGTTTTTATCATCTTTAGTTCGCAAGGTTTTGCGGAACAATTAATATTGTTTTTATAAAACCATGCCTCAGCGGGCCTTTCAGGTAGCACGTCCCGCCCTAGGTGCATTTTAACTTCCGTAGCTCAACGCGGCGCGTCCGCCGTGGAGATGACTCCACCGCTGGAGCATTGTTCCCGACCCTAAGTGCCCCAACTGTGGACAGGTAGAAACAAACACCCATGTTTTCTTTGATTGTCCCGTTGCGCGCTCATTTTGGCGTTTGGTGCACCATGGCTTCCGGGGTATCGGCATCTGGAACTTTGTGTCAGGCGGTAGGTGCCCCCGCGGGGGCTTCGCCCTGCTCCTGTTGGCAGTCGGCCAACTGGTCCTCTGGCAGAATCGTTGTGCGGCGGTTGGCCAGCAACGACGATCTCGTGCAATGTGGCCAGTCCTCTCTCGATTGCGGGGTACCCTGCTCCGTCACCTAGACTCCGAGCTCTTTTGGTTGGGCGAGGAAGAGTTCCTCAGGCGGTGGTCTTGCCGCTACGTCCGGCTGGTCGGTGGTCACATCCACTTGCTTTTCGCGCCTCTCGCACAGGTGTGAGAGGCGTGGGGTGGGGTGAAAGGGGGGGGGGGGGGGGGGGGGGATATGACGTTAGCCAGCCGAACGCTACGCCTGGCTTACACTGACATTTCTTAGGTAAAGGAGAGAACCCTCCTCGTGTGTGCTGATGAGATGTAAACAGCGGCCATATTTGATTCGCTAAGTTATGTTTTTTCGTTACCTCCGTCCCTGGATCTTTGTAGCGTACATGTTCCCATTGTATA